GGGTCTAATTCGGCGCCCGGGAGGTCCTACTTCCATTCAGCCACTGGGGGAAGCGAGAGAGGAGCTCGGCTGGGTCTCTTCCCTGATCGGCTACCTTTCCACGACCCCAGCCCCATCAGAAGATGTGGGGAGGGGAGGGAGGCTTCAGGCTCCTATCTCACTTGCCCTCGACCCCTTTCCACACTCCTTTTCAAAAGAAATTCCCAACTCCTTTCTTTCTCCTCTCCCCCATCGGCATCGGAGGTCCCTCCTAGCCCCCCCTCCCAGCCCCCTCCTTACTGGGGGTCTCCTTCCCCTCCTTCGCTTCCAGGGATCCGGGCCAGCGCCCCCACCAGCAGCATCAGGGGGACCCCGACAGAGCCCATGGATGCTGCCCCACAAGTGCCCCCAAAGAGCGAGGAGAAAGACCCAGATGCTCCCAGCCCCAGAGGCGGGATCGGTGAGTCTTGATTGGAGGGGAGGGAGCGTTTATTTCTTGCAAAGTCAGAGTTGGGAGAATCCAGAGAAGCGGAAACACCAATGAGAGAATTCTTCTCTTCGGCAGCGTCATCGGTCTCCGGGCAGAGTCTCTCTTGACTTCACCCCCTGGAGGAGATGAAAGAAAGAAGCGACTTTACGAGAGAAAAATGCATTTTTTGCTTTCTTGGAACGCGTGGCGGTCTTGCTCAAAACGCGTCCACGAATCAGCTCCTTCCCGTTTCCCGCCCCCTCCCATTTTACATGCATGCACATACATGTAAAAAAAAAAAAAAGAGGTATAATTTTAAATACATTTTACAATCCGGTTTGGAATTTCTGAGCAAAGGGGATGCAAAATAGCATTGTGATTAACACCAGCTGCCTGCAATTACTGTAAGTTCGAATGTCACCAGGCTCAAGGTTGACTCAGCCTTCCATCCTTCCGAGGTAGGTAAATTGAGGACAATAAGCTGACTTTGTATAAATATACAAAAGTATGAAGGCTATTGCTTAACGCATTGTAAACCGTCCTGAGTCTCCGGAGAAAGGCGGCATATAAATCAAATTTTTTTAAAAAATTGGAGTTTTTCTCCCCTAGGTGAAGCCCTCTGAACGGATTGGTCTGTGAGTCCGTTTACACCAGTGTTGCGGTGAGTGACGTTGCGGAGTTTACACAATTGCACAAGAACACAGCGAGGCTTGTGATGTCCGGGTGGCTTCTACATGACACCTCTTATTTGTTTATTTATTTATTTATTTGTTTCCATTTCTATACCGCCCTTCTCCAATAGGACTCAGGGCGGTGAACAGCCAAAGTAAAAAACAGAACATGCAAAATTTAAAAGCAGTTTAAAATAATTAAATATTTTGGCCGTAAATTAAAACAATCCAATTTAAAATCAATTTAAAATTTAACTCAAGCCAGCCCAGCTAGTTGAAATAAATAGGTTTTCAGGGCCCGACGAAAAATCTGGAGGTCTGTTATTGTACGTATCTCTGGGGGGAGGTTGTTCCAGAGGGTGGGCGCCGCCACAGAGAAGGCTCTCCCCCTGGGGGTCGCCAGCCAACATTGTCTGGCGGACGGCACCCTGAGGAGGCCCACTCTGTGCGAGCGTACTGGCCGGTGGGAGGCTATTGGTGGCAGAAGGCGGGCTCTTGGCTGGGCTTGTTCTCTCTTCACCTATAGGTGGCATTTGGCAAGCGAATGGGGTAGAGCAAATGTCCCATGGACCAGGAGGGACACAATTCTCTCTGCAGGACAAAGACCAGTAGCTGAAAAGTCCAAGGAAGCAGCTTCAGGCGATTTGCTGGGAGGAATTTTCTGACCAGACAAGGCTTTGGCCATGGGAACAGTCCGCCACTTGAAGCATGGCAGTCTCTTGCAGGAGAATCTTCAAACAGGTGGGAGGGGCTTCGGGCAAATGCCCCAGCCCATCCACTTAGTGAGTAGAGATTGAACTAGATCAGGGATCCCCAACCTGCCTCCCCTGCTGGCCGTGTCCCACTACCGGACTGGAAGTGGCAGGCGCGCATGGCCGCAGCTCGTGCAGAACCTTCCCCTCTCCCACTCCTCCCCCACCTCACCAGTCCACAAAGCCAGAGAGGTTGGGGAACTCTGGACTAGATGGTCTCTGCAGACCCCCTCCTCCTGTGAAGAACAAAGGATGAACATCTAGTATTATCCAACACTTTGTGCAATGTTCCTCGGTGACTTATTTATTTATTTATTAGTTCGATTTATATGCCGCCCTTCTCCGGAGACTCAGGGCGGCTTACAATGCATTAAGCAATAGCCTTCATACTTTTGTATATACCTGCTTAGTAGGGCTTTTTGCCCCCACTCCCCCAAGCGGTGTTCTTTTTTATACAAAGTCAGCTTATTGTCCCCACAATCCGGGTCCTCATTTTACCTACCTCGGAAGGATGGAAGGCTGAGTCAACCTTGAGCCTGGTGAGATTTGAACTTGCAGTAATTGCAGGCAGCTGGCACTTTAGTCTGCTGCACCACCATGGCTCTTGCCATTGACTTCCCAATGCCACCAGTCTCAAAACTGTCTCAAAAAAACCCCCCTTCCAACAACAGCTTGTATATTATGATTTATATTGTTTACTTAATATCCTAGTATGATTTATGTCGATTGATTATTTGGTATCCTGTGACTATCACTAAGAGTTGTGTCTTACGATGAATGTATTTTTATGATGACTGTGTGGAGAAATGCAAAGCTTTACACTTAGGCAGGAAAAATCAAAGGTACAAGTCCAGATCAGGCAAGACCTGGCTCAAAAACAGGAACTATGAGAGGGACCTTGGAATCCTAGTGGACGATCACTTGAATATGAGCCAGCCGTGTGCAGCTGCCACCAAAAAAGCTAATACAGTCCTGGGTTGTATACACAGAGGCATAGAATCAAGATCTTTATCTTTATTTTTATTTGATTTGTATACCGCCCTACTCCCGAAGGACTCAGGGTGGTGAACAGCCGAACAGTAAAATACATAAATACAAAATTTAAAAACAGGATAAAATCAAATTAAATAATTTGGCCCAGACAAATTAAAACACCCCAATCATTTGAAAAACAGATTAAAATTTGCATATTAAAAAAGAAAAGAGGGAAAAGATTAGGCCAGGCCCGCCTGGTGGAATAAAAAGGTCTTCAAAGCGTGGCGGAAGATCCGGGATCGTCCGTATCTCTGGGGGGAGCTCATTCCAGATAGTATGTGCCCCTACAGAGAAGGCTGTCCCCCTAGGGGCCACCAGTTTAGAGAAGAGCAACTAAGATGATCAAAGGCCTGGAGACTAAACCACATGGCTGCAGGTTTTGGGTCTGTCTAGTCTAAAGAAAAGAAGAATTAGGTACAGTATCAATTTGGACAATTGGCAAAATTTGTGGGGGGAAAATATCAGAATCACACTGGCGACTTCCTATAAAGAAAGCCTGTATAAAATATTCTACAGGTGGCACTTCTCACCCACAAGATTGGCAAGAATTAGTAAAAAATACTCCCCAATTTGTTGGAAATGTGAGGTGGATCTAGGGTCATATTATCATATGTGGTGGGAGTGCTCAAAAGCCAAAAGTTTCTGGCAGCAAATAAGGAGCTGGTTAGAAGAGATATTAATGTTTAAAATAGAAGATAAGCCGGAATTTTTCTTACTGGGCATGACAGATGGCAAATATGACAATAATGTAACCTATTTAATATTGCATATACTTACCGCGGCAAGACTAGCATTTGCTCAAAAATGGAAGTGTAAAGAAATACCCTCAGAAGAAGAAGTAATACACAAAATCTACAGCTGTGCAGAGATGGACAGACTTACTTTAGAACTCAAAGACAAAAGTGAATCAACATACTATGAAGTCTGGAATAAATTTTATAATTGGTTAGATAAGAGGAAGAATGCCAAAAACAAGGGATAACGAATGTCTGGAAATATATATAGCAATATATCAATGTATATTGAATTTGTGAATGTAATATAGGTTTATAAAACACATGCCTAGTTGTTTAGGAAGTAAAATACTGCATACTTGATATATAATGAAATAGGAGATATGTAAATTTGTATATAGATCAAGGAATAGATTACTTACTAACTTGATTTAGACGTAAATGTTAGAAACCAGAGACGTTGAGCAATGTCCATTGTTTTACTTTTAAAACTAATAAAATATTTAAAAAAGAAAAAAGAAAAGAAGAATTGGGGTAACATGATTGCAACATTTGAGGTATTTGAGGGGTTGCCACAAAGAAGAGGGGGGTCAAATTATTCTCCAAAGCATCAGAAGGCAGGGCAAGAAACAATGGATGGAAACTAATCAAGAAGAGAAGCAACCTGGAATTAAGGAGAAACTTCCTAACAGGAAGGACAATTAACCACTGGAACATTTTGCCTTCAGAAGTTGTGGGTGCTTCATCACTGGAGGTTTTTAAAGAAGAGACTGGACAGTCACTTGTCTGAAATGGTACAACTTCTCCTGTTTGAGCAGGAGGCTGGACTAGAAGACCTCCAAGGTCCCTTCCAGTTACTAATCTCCGGACGGCTCCTGATCTCCGTTCCTTCCGTCGGGACTTGAAGACTTCGCTGTTCAAACAAATAGGCTGACTCTGATTCCGGGTTTTATTATTTACTATTAATTAATTATTTGGATTAAAATGGGATTTTATTGTACTTGTTTCTTAACTTGTGTTCGCCGCCCTGAGTCCTTCGGGAGAATGACGGCATATAAATTCATGTAATAAATAAATAAAATAATAAATAATCTATCCAATCATGATTTATCACTTATTGCTTGTATGTACACTGAGAGCTTAGGCACCGGAGACAAATTGTTCAATCACACTCGGCCAATAAAGAAGTCTGCTCTGTTTTATTGAGCACGGGTTGGCCTGGATGGCCTTTAAGGTGCCCCTCGCGATCTCGCAGTTAGTAGCCGGGGAGGGGGGGGGAGGCAATCCCCGCAAGTGCCACCAGTGGGCGCTCGTCGCCGACTCGCTCGCTCGCTCGGTCTCTGCGCATGCTCCGCCACGATTGCCTAGCTTGGGTGGACCGGTTGAGAGCTGCGCTTCGGGGGTTCGCGAGCAGCCCCCTTCCAGCCAGAGGCAGAGCCTGCCCGGCCGGCCGGGTCTCGCCCTTCCAAGAAAAGCCGGTGGAGAGATGGAGGGACGCCGGAGGGGTTGCTGGACCGAGGATCTCGAGGCTTGCAGGGGAGGGGAGGCACCCAGTCCTGCTCCTGGCTTTGCATGCAAGGGATCATCCGACATTGGGGGGGGGGGGGGGGGAGAGAAGCCCCCGGGAACCTCACATTGGGCATAAACCAGGTTTGCTTCGCAGCGTTCCTAGCAAAAGAGAATCCAAGAAATCCCTGCCTGGCACTCCCGTACCTTCTGCAAAGGCTCCTATTTTCAGCTATTTTGGGGTGGGGGACATTGGAGGAGCTCCGATTCTGTGCCTCGGAATTCATTTGTAAAACCTGCAATGTTTTTCTTGCTGTCAGTGCAGGGGTGAAATCCAATTTTTTTTTTCCTATCGGTTTTGTGGGCGTGGCTTAGTGGGCGTGGTGTGGCTTGGTGGGTGTAGCAGGGGAAGGATGCTACAAAATCTCCATTCCCTCCCCACTCCAGGGGAAAGGGTACTGCAAAATCCCCATTCCCACCCCACTCGGGGGGGGGGGCAGCCAGAGGTGGCATTTGCCGATTCTCCGAACTACTCAAAATTTCCGCTACTGGTTCTTCAGAACCTGCTGGATTTCACCCCTGTGTCAATGGAGCTCAGCTGCACTTCTTCTGCAGAGAAGACCCCCCCTCCAAAATGAGGGTTGGTCTCCAAGGGGAGGAGGGGTCGAGACGGAGAGAGGAACAAACCTTGCAGCCTGTGCCTGAAACGTCTGGTTTTTGGCCCTCCCCCTTCCAAAATGTCACTTTGCCCTCATTTGGATTAAACGATCACAGTTTCTGAAGGAGAAAGTCGGTAATTCCTGACGTTCAAAATTAAAGAAGAATATTTGTAGCTCAGGGTTGAAGTTTCCTTTCTTTTCTTCCTTAGATGTAAAAGCTGGAGGCTTCTTGAGAATTGAATGGCTTGAAAATCTTCTCCGGGCTTCTCTGTGCAACCCCTTCAGACCGCAGGACTGAAAAGACATCTGGAGGCCCAGGAGATCCACAGGGCCCTTCTGGATCCCTGTCAGACAAGAGGTCAAAATGGATGCAATCCACCTGGTATGGAAAGGAGTGGGGAAAGATCCTGTTGCTACTCAGCCCGGGAGCTTTGGGGAAGTCTGGGCAGGACCCAGGCAGAAGATCCCAGAGATGGCAGCCCTCAGTTCTGAGATCCAGCATTGGCGCTTCAGGAACAGCCCCTTTCAGGAGGACGAAGGACCACGAGAGCTTTGCAGCCGCCTTCATCATCTTTGCTGGGGATGGTTGCAGCCAGAAAAGCACACCAAGGCTCAGATGTTGGACCGGGTGATCTTGGAGCAGTTTTTGGCCATCCTGCCCAGGGAGATGCAGCGCTGGGTGCGGGAATGCCGAGCGGAGACCACTTGCCAGGCAGTGGCCCTTGCCGAAGGTTTCCTGCTAAGCCAGGCAGAGGAGAAGGGAGTGCACCAGGTGAGAAACATTCCTCTTGGGAAATATGGAGGAAGCTTAATGTGCCGTAATTCTTAAAGGTCCTACTTAACAGTTTGGGTGATTAATGTGGCTTAGGGGAGTAATGTGACGGTGGGCGTGGCCAACTTTTTTTTTTTTTTTTTACTTTTAAAAGCATTTCTACAACCTTAAGAGGTTGCAGAAAAAAATGCTTTTAGAAGCTTCTGATGATCAGGCAAATCTGCTGGGATCACCAGAGGCTTTTAAAGGAATTTTTTTTCCTAGAACCTCCTCGGCTGGAGAGGTTGCAGAAAAAATGTTTTCAGAAGCCTCTGAAGATCCCATCTGAGCCGCGTGATCATCAGAGGCTTTTTAAAAAAACTTTTAAAAGCATTCTTTCAGCCAAAGAGGTTGTAGAAAAAATGCTTTTAAAAGTTAAAAAAAGAGCCTCTGATGAGGTAGGCGGGGTAAGCAAGTGGCGACCGGGCTGAGGACCGGTCCAGGGGCGTGGCCAGCCAATATTATTACTGGTTCTCCAAACTACTAAATTTTTTTACTACCGGTTCTTGTGATCCGGTGCGAATCAGGAGAAACCCACCACTGGATACGATATGATACAATATACAATACCATACCAAATACAACCAGATATTTAGTAAACATCATTAAGGAAATTGTTCTTGTCTTCTTCCAGAGGACACATTTGGAGCAATTCTTCCACTATCCTCTTTTATCCATAATGATGGACACTGAGGGCATGCAACATTGTGGGCACAAAATGAAAATCCAGATCCTCTTTTATCTCCTGCCCTCTTAATTCTTCTTCGCAAATATTTCAGGTTCTAAGGTCCTTCCTGGAGGTGGGGGCTAATTATCCTGAAGAAAAGGTGGATCCCACAAACCCTACTCAGAAGTCGTGTTTCAGAGGGATCTCCAAGGAGAAACATCAATGTCAAGATGTCTCACTAGGTAAGGCAACGTTTTACATGTTTGGAGGTTTTCCAGAGAGCTTCAAGCTGTTCTTAATTCTCTGTGTCTTCTCGTGTCTAGTTGTTGGACTTATTAGAAGATGACCCATCAAAAAAGACTTAACTCTGCCTCTTCAAGCTTGAGGGCTTCAGTTTCATAAAGTCCCTCCCTTCAGTTCATAGATTACCTTCCCATAATTCCCCCTTTGCGGAAGACTGACTCGCCTGGGGATTGCCCTGTGTTGCGTTCTGGATCCTCCATCCTAAGATGTTTTTCTTTGTTCTAACCGATGGGGATTGGAGCAATCAGTCTTTGGCCTTTCTTGATACATAATTTTGAGCGAATTCCGTTGCAGATCCTTTCTGGATCATCTCCAACACCATCTGTCCCTTGCAGGCATGTTCCTGGGGTGCCAGAATTCTCAGTGGGATGGTTGCCAGAATGGTTTGTCTTTCTGGGATACCAGAACAGTATGGTTTCAGGGTGTAGGCAATGGGAAGAGGATAATTGTTGCTTGAGTGAATGCTTTGTTTGCCAAGAGTATTCTTCCCTGTCTCCTTCCTTCCCAAAAGGTTAGAAGAGCAATCCAATTGTGGTTTGTTCTCCAGTGTGTATTGGGGCTGTGCAGTGGTGAAATGTAAAATTTGTTACTACCGGTTCTGTGGGCGTGGCTTGGTGATGGGCAGGGCCGGATTTAGATTGAAAGAGGCCCTAGGCTATTCCACTTATGAGGCCCTTTCACCAGTGGTGGGATTCAATTTTTTTAACAACAGGTTCTGTGGGCGTGGCTTAGTTGGGGGTGTGGCTTGGCAATCATGTGACGGTGGGCGTGGCTAGCTGGTCACGTGACTGTGTAGGCGTGGGTAGCTCGTCATGTGACCGGGTGGGCATGGCTATGTGCATAGACTTTTTTCAGAGGGCTGAAAAAAGTCATTTCTGACTGGGCCTCGCACTTTTGACCGGTCCTCACACTTATGACCATCCTCACATTTATGCCCGTGCAGCTTTCTTAACAACCATGTCACTCATTTCACAACTGCTTCTCTTCACCATGGTGACAAGATAGGGCAAAAACGTAAAATGTGAGGACAGTCGTAAGTTCAAGGACTGGTCAAAAGTGCGAGGACCAGTCAGAAATAACTTTTTCAGCCCTCTGAGTAGTCCATATGCATAAAAGGATACAGCAATAGAGAGGGATGAAGGAAGGGAAGGGAAATTAGAGTAGGAGGGAGGGTAAGAGAGGGAGGAAGAGAGGAGGAGAAGGAGAAAGGAAGAGGAAATAGGGAGGAGAAGAAGAGGGGGAGGAAGAGAAAGTAAGAAGGAAAGAAAAGAGAGAGGTGGTAGGTTTGAGGAGAAAGATTGCTGTACAATAAAAAAGATGAAAGGGAAGAAAGCCAACCCCAAACAAATATAAAGATATTAAGATAAAGAATGAATTGTTAAACTTTAAAGAATAAAAGAGAACAAATATGAATAAATAACAATAATTAGAAACACACATACAAACATACAATGTATTTTCTTTGAACAGAGTATTTGGCCAGTTCACAAATTTAAACTGTTCAGTCATTTCAATTAAATTTACAATTTCTATATTTCCTTTTTGCCATATTTATTCCTCCTCTATTTTTGTAAAAAACCAATATTACCCTTCATCCTCATCTCTAATCTTAATCAAATTCAATTTTTCCCTTCTATTCTATATTATACCCCTTCCCATTGTCATCTATTTTTATATCCATCCTCACATTGGTTAATTATGTAATATTAGTTGTTTAATATAAATTCAACATTTTAATATAAATCAATTAGTTATATAACTACCTTTTTTGTATATTAATCAATATGAACATGAGTATTCCAATTATTTCCATGCCATCCAATTTCTTACAAATCCATTAATTATATTTACCAATAATAATAAACCAAATAATTTCCCCCATATATTCCTCCAAACCACAACTTAACCATTTCTGCTTTCAGAAATATACAATTAATAGTATCTCAATTATTACAATTCCCTAGTTAAATAGAGCTTTTTTCTTTTGTGTTTTAAAATCTCCTCTTTTTCCCTAAATTTCCCGTTGTTTGCACCTACCTTTTTTGGTGAGGAAAAAGAAAAGAAATGTGCCTGCCTAATTTTCCAAAGTGCAAAGCCAACAGCCTGCTTTACTTTCTCTTTCGTTTTTCAGTATAGCTAGGGGAAAAAAAATCTGCACTCTTTCCAAGCAAGCCGCAGAGCTCTGAGCAAAACAGCTGAGAGCAAATCAGCTGGGGGTCGGGAGCCGATCTAAGCAAGGGCTAATTAGCCTCTGCTGAAGCTCCCGGGCCAATAAAATTACAAAAAAAACACCGAACCCTTTGTTAAATTGCTGGCTCCCCCGCCCCTCGCCCACCACTATTTATTGGCAATCAATAGTGGTGCGGAGGGGCAGGGCAAGCCAGCAATTTAACAAACGGTTCGGCTGCACCAGTGGCTCTAGGGCGGCCCTTTGAAGCCCCGCGGCAAGAATTTGCAGTTTTTTTTTCCTCTAGCCATCAGAGGCAGCAATAGATGGGGAGTGGGCGGGGTAAGCGAACGGCCGGCGATCCAACAGAGCAGAGAGTGAGGGTGAGTGAAGGCGTGGAAGCTGCTTTCTCCATCCTGCTCTCTTGCGTCCGGAGCCGGTGGGGAACCACGTGGCAGCCCACGTGGATCCCAGGCAGCGGAACTCAGGCTAGGGAAGGGGTGGGCAATTGTGGCTCTTTTACAACCTGTGGCCTTCAACTCCCAGAATTCCTGAGACAGCCAAGCTGCATCAGGAATTCTAGAAGTTGAAGGCCACAGGTTGTAAAAGAGCCACAATTGCCCAACCCTGGCTACGGTAGGCTGGCGCCGCGCAGGTGGGAGGTGAGGGGCGGGCGAGCCAGCAATTTAACAAAGGGCTCGGCCGAACCCCCTAGAACCCCCAGAATCCCACCACTGTGTAGGCCCCTCTTGATCTTGAGGCCCTAGGCTGAAGCCTAGTTAGCCTATAGGAAAATCTGGCCCTGGTGATGGGGTAATGTGACTGGTTGGGTGTGGCCAACTTTTTTTTTTTAAGAAAAAAAAAGGCTCTGACGATCAGACAACTCTGCTGGGATCGTCAGAGGCTTTTAAAAGCATTTTTTTACAACCTCTTCGGCTGAAGAGGTTGTAGAAAAAATGCTTTTAAAAGGCTCTGATGATCCCAGCTGAGCTGTGCGATCATCAGAGGCTTTTTTTTTTTACTTTTAAAAGCATTTGTAGAAAAAATGCTTTTAAAAGTTAAAAAAAAAAAGCCTCTGATGATCGAGCGGCTCAGCTGGGCAGGTGGGGGGCAGGGACTTCTGCTACCGGTTCTCCAAACCACCCACCGCCATCACTACCAGATTGGGCGATCCGGTCCGAACCAGGAGCATTTCACCCCTGGGGCCGTGGGCTTCTTTGATTCTTGACTTTCAGTATGGAGCCTTTGAAAGGCCACTGAGGCAAAGCATAGGAGTGAGAGGTAGAGGTTTCCTCTCTGGGACAAGAGGAAATACTAAGTCATGCCTTCAAGCTCAAAAAATGGGAGTTAATCTCTTTCCTGTTTTTATCCCATCTGTCCTTCCCAGGGAACAAAATGGAGTCACCGTTGTTCATTAGTTCCTCTCTTTGTGCTGGTGGAGCTAAAAGAGCAGCTGAACTTCCAGCTCAGGTAGGAAGGAAAAGATCTGGGGCTAATATTGGGGAGCAGTTGGAGACCGCATTGGGGTCATTTGAAGTCTCACCATACGATACTGCTGTTTCTGAGCAACGTGGGACGGGGAAATTAGGATTTAAATTAGAGACCAGTCACACTTGGTCTGTCTCTCTAGACTATTTTGGAAATGTATTGAATTCTCTAGTGACAATATGTGGTTGAACTTAAAAAATGATAGTTTACACTTTAAAACAAGCAAAGGATAGTGCCATCCTTGATCATTTTGGGAAGGCCAATAAGGAGGTTGCCAGCCTAATTTGTAAAAAGACAGTTGAATAAAAGAGCTACACTGTTATTCCTTCTTTTCAAAATTTAATAGTTTTTTTTTCCCAGGGCTTTAAGGAGATCCCCCAAATTGGATGAAGAACAAAGACACTCCTGACTCCAATTTGTCTTTTAAAACCTTTATCAGTGCTGATTTGGGATGCTTTTGGGATGAAGTCATTTCAAATTGGCCTCTTCCGAACTTTTTGTCTAGGAAAGAGTTAAAGGGGTTAGGGGACCCCTTTAGGGGTGGTTGTGGATTTTTAATGTAAGTTACAATTTACACCTTTTAGTGTAAGTTACTTACACACAGATGAAAAGGATGTATTGTATAACACTCCCCCACTTCTCTGAGAGATCAGGGATTGGTGTTATCACATAACATCCTGAGCCATGCCAGGGAAATGTCCAAATAAGCATAATACTATGTTTTTAGGATTTGCAGATTGAAGGAGATCTTGCAAATTCTGTCGAGTCTGCTCACAGGAATTTTTCCTTCTTTAGGGTCCTGTGTCCTTTGGGGAGGTGGCCATCCATTTCACCAGTGAAGAGTGGTTGCTGCTTGATCCCAGCCAGAAAGCCCTGCATCAAGAAGTCATGTTGGAGACATGTAGGATCATGGCTTCTTTAGGTAAGGGTTCCTCTGGAAGAAAACTTAAGTAAGAGTAAGGAGTCATTAGACAGCTTATTTACACCTTGGGAGATCTGTATAAATGTTTTTTTCTTATTTCACTTGTCCTTATCACCATATTTTCTCCTACAATTATTTTAAAATTTAAGATAACTTTTATTGTCATATTTTACTGTGAGCACACTGGCCTACATTAAAAATGAAATTCTGTCACCTGCTCTCAAGACCAAATATATATCTACTCATACACACATACTGTACATAATACACATATATAAATATATACCTGCACCCTTTATATATAAATATCTCCCTCTCTCCCTCTCTCTCTCACTGTCCATTTTGAATACATAGGGGAAAGTGGAAACTTGAGAGTTCACAAAGTATTTTGCAATGATATGTATATTCTGTCACCGGACATCTGACATTTCTGATTTCCTTTCTCCCCTCCCCCCTAAGCAGTTGATGAGCAGAAGAATGACAATTACCAAGAGCCAAATCTGGTGCCATTGCAAATAATAAAAATTGAAATCCCAGAAGAAATAACTGCAGATAAGTGGGGAATGAGGAAACATGAAAAAAACCAAGCTTACAATGGCAATGAAATGTTCACTCTTCGGTGTGCAGGAATGGATCACTTTCTGACCCAATGCATTTTCAAGGAAAGCAACCTGCGCAACACTCAAGGGAGCGAGAAAATGTTCAAAGGAAAATCCATGATTAGTAATGACTATGAAATTAAAAAGAGCAATAATAGCAACATTATTCCACATAAAATGATCCATATGAAGGAAAATTCCTATAAATGTGAGGACGGGAGAAACAGTTCCAGTTTGATTAATTCCCTTACTTATCATAAAAAGACCCGTATGGGAGAAAAACCCTATAAATGCCTGGAGTGCGGAAAGAACTTCAGCAGCAGCAGTTACCTGACCATCCATAAAAGGATCCACACAGGAGAAAAACCTTATAAATGCACAGACTGCGGAAAAAGCTTCAGTATGAAAAGTTCCCTTACTTCTCATAAAAGGATTCATACGGGAGAGAAGCCTTATCAATGTCTGGAGTGTGGGAAAAGCTTTGGGAACAGAGATCATCTGACCTCTCATCAAAGGACCCATACAGGGGAAAAGCCTTATAAATGCACAGACTGTGGAAAGACGTTTAATTGGCATGGCCACCTGACTTCTCACAAAAGGATCCACACAGGAGAGAAACCATATAAATGCCTGCAGTGTGGGAAAAGCTTCAGTATGAACAGTTCTCTTACTTCTCATAAAAGGATCCACACTGGAGAGAAACCCTATCAATGCTTAGAGTGCGGAAAAAGCTTCAGTATGAACAGTTCTCTTACTTCTCATACAAGGGTTCATACTGGAGAGAAACCCTTTCAATGCCTGGAGTGTGGAAGAAGCTTTAGTATGAAAAGTTCCCTTACTTCTCATCAAAGAATTCACACGGGAGAAAAACCCTATAAATGCGTAGACTGTGGGAAAAGCTTTAGTATGAAAAGTTCCCTTACTTCTCATCAAAGGGTCCATACAGGAGAGAAACCCTATCAGTGCTTAGAGTGTGGGAAGAGGTTCAGCCACAGCAGTCAGCTTACTTCCCATAAAAGGGTCCACACAGGAGAAAAACCCTTTATATGCACAGTGTGTGGAAAGAGTTTCAGCAACAGCAATCACCTGACCTCCCATAAAAGAATGCACACCGGGGAAAAACCCTATAAATGTACGGACTGTGGAAAAAGCTTCAGTATGAACAGTTCCCTTACCTCTCATAAAAGGATCCACTCGGGAGAGAAACCCTATAAGTGTGTTGAGTGTGGAAAAAGCTTCAGTATGAACAGTTCTCTTAGATACCATAAAAGGATCCATATGGGAGAAAAACCCTATAAATGCACAGAATGTGGGAAGAGCTTCATCCGAAGCAGTGATCTTGTTTCCCACAAAAGGATCCATACAGGAGAGAAACCCTTTAAGTGTACTGAATGTGGAAAGAGCTTCAGTATAAACAGTTCTTTTAATTATCATAAAAGGCTCCATACGGGAGAAAAACCCTATCAGTGCCTGGAGTGTGGGAAGAGCTTCAGCAAGAGCAGTGTTCTTGCTTACCATAAAAGGATCCATTCAGGGGAAAAACCTTATAAATGCATGGACTGTGGTAAGACCTTCAATTGGTATGGCCACCTGACTTCTCATAGAAGGATTCACACAGGAGAGAAACCCTACAGATGCCTGGAATGTGGAAAGAGCTTTAGTCATCGTGATTCCCTTACTTCCCATAAGAGGATCCACACAGGAGAGAAACCATATAAATGTATGGAATGTGGGAAGAGTTTCAGTCACAACAGTCACCTGACTTGTCATAAAAGGATCCATTCAGGGTTGAAGCCCTATATGTGCAATGAATGTGGAAAAAGTTTTGTTACGAGAGGTTCTCTTACTAAACACATTAGTATCCACACAGGGGAGAAACTCTATCATTGCACAGAGTGTGGTAAGTACTTCCGGTTGAAAAGTCATCTAAATTCCCATAAAAGAGTACATACAGGAGAAAAACGGTAGAAATGTGTTGGAAGCGGAAAAGGGTTTTGTGAAAACAGGACTCTTAACTTCTTATGAAAAAAGCCAGAGGGGGGAATTCATGCAGTGTGTGGAAAAATCTTAATATGAAGAAATCAAGTTAATTCCCATAAAAGGACTGATTCAAGGATCTTGTAGAAGACACCTGAAGTAAACGGTCCTTTTTTTTTTTTTTTTTAGAATCGCCTGCCATAGGAGAAACTGAATAAAAATATGGATTTTGGAAAGAACTTCCAAAATAGATTTCTTAATACCATCTTAATACCATTTTACCAGTCAGATTCAGCTCCTGAGAATAATTATTAAATTAACAATAACAGAGTTGGAAGGAATCTTCTATCCCTGCTCAAGCAGGAAACCCAATACCATTTCAGATAAATGGCTATTCAATGTTTCTTTAAAAACTTCCAATGTTGGAGCACCCACAACTTCTGGAGGCAAGTTGTCAGGAAATTTTGTAGTTCTAGGTTGGTTTTCTTCTCGCTTAGTTTCCATCCATTGCTTCTTGTTCTGACTTCCGGTGCTCTGGAGAATGGGTTGACCCTGGACTAGACTTCCAAGGTCTCTTCCAACCCTATTATTTTATGCTCTATTCTTTGTGGCAGATATTGGAACACTGCTATCATGTCACCTTAGTCCTTCATTTCATTAAACCAGACATCTAATTCCTGCAACTGTTCTTCATATGTTTTAGCCTTAGTCATTTTTGTTGATCTTCCCTTCACTCTTTCCAGAGTTGCCACATCTTTTTTATATTGTGGTAACCAAAACTGGATGCAATACTCCAAGTGGTCTTCATAATGTAAATTGTCACATTCATTATGTTAAAACCTGTCTGGTCAAGCTGTTTTATCTAGACAAGAAGCAACATCTGAAGTAAGTCTGATCAGGCTCCATGCTTTGTGGAGAATTGATGTAATTGTGTTCATGCTACTGGCCGCCTTTAAACATGTAGCAAGGTACATAAGCTGTTGATTCTTTTTTCATATACGTGCATAGGTTTTGTTTAGAAGTGAATTTTTTTTCCTGAATATTTGTATGTACATGCCTGCTTAGACTTGTATTTGTCTGGTGCAAACTTGCATTAACCCAGCTGAAAGGAGAAACATAACTGGTCAGTTTATCACAGCTGATGCCTCTTTACTTTAAAAATGGTTTTATTGATCTAACATTGTACCATATGAGCAATGTCTTTTTTTAAAAGGAGGGACTTAAATTGCTTAATTTAAATTAGTCAGTTATTCATTTCTCCATGTAAATAACCAGAACCATATTTTCTATTGGGTCAAGGTTTTAAAGTATCACTTTAGTGCCAATTTTGTGATATCAAGGTTAATAGAAAGGTCAATCTAATTTGAAATTTTAAGGGGCCATGGCATTGCAAGTTAGGAACAACTCCTTTTTCTAGTATGATTATGACTTTGTGCTTTTTATCTTAGCATAGCTTTTTAAATAACATCTTAGTAACTGTATTGGTTTGCAAGGTTAATATAATAAATTATTGGGAACAATAATTGTTGTGCAATGTAAATGTTTCCTACTTAATATGCATTGAAGAAGAAAATTAAATGAAGAAATCAGATGAATACGCAGGAGACTTTCATGGGGGGGAAAGAGTATAATAAAATGTTAGAAAGCGGTAGAAGGTGGAATGAGCTCGGATCTGATTCAGTTTCACACACCATAGAGAATGATTTTTGTTTTTTTTGTTTTTAATTTGATTTATATGCCACCCTTCTCCGGAGACTCAGGGCGGCTTACAGTGCGTTAAGCAATAGCCTTCATACTTTTGTATATTTATACAGTCAGCTTATTGCCCCCACAAACTGGGTCCTCAGTTTACTTACCTTAGAAAGGATGGAAGGCTGAGTCAACCTTGAGCCTGGCGGGATTCGATCTTACTTTAATTGCAGACAGCTGGTGTTAAATTACAGTGCTTCTGTCTGTTGAGCTAAACCAGGCTCCCTGGTTTATGAATGAACGATGCACATACATCCATGGAACATGAGGAAAGCATTCTCAATGCAGGATCCACCTATAAAGGCAGCAACAAAGCGGTGAAACTAGAGCCTATTTTAATGTGGGAAGACCATTACACTCCTTATAAATGTATGGAATTTGAGCAGAACTTCCCAATTATGTAATTTTACATCTGTGGAGATAATCCATGCATCATTGAAAGTGCTTTGGCCAACTTTCTCTTCTTCCTTTGCACCAGAAGACTCAAAGGGGAACCAGAAAATTTCAGCCTTTTGCCTCTTTCTACAACTTGGAAGATATTTTTGGCCTTTAAAGGTTTGCACTTTGAGTCATGGTGGGGAGGTCCAGGCAGCATCTACATTTATCTTTCCATTTGATACAATTAAATTCTGTACTAATGGAATAAGTCCATTCAACATATTCCTTATTCTCCAGCCAGCGATTCCACTCTTTCCCTTTGCAAATGAAGCCCTGAAAGAAACACCATCATTATTCTGAAGGGTCTTTGGGGGCGAGTGGAGGCCGAGGGCTTGGAAGGGATCCATTGAGGGGATCTGGGGATCGTCCCATTCATTCGCCTCAGTGACGGGATGATTTCAAAGGGTCCCTTGGGGGGTCTCCCATAAGAGAAGCCGGAAAGGGGCTCCTGAGGAGGACACTGGGGGCAAAGGGAGAAAAGACAACTAGGAGGCCCAGTTCGATCTCTGACCCAGAGATAGGAAGAGTCGAATTATTTCCTGAGGACCCCAAAGATCCCAAAATGGCGGCGCTTCCCTCAGAGCCACATCCGTCAGTCTCTCTCAGTTCTTCCCGCCAGAATAGGCTCCTCCCACTCTTCTCGGATCCACTTTTCCCGCTTCTCCGTCTGAGGGAAATGTACTGGGAGGGGCGTGGCCGACAGGAAAGGGGAGGAGTCCCGCAAGCTCCCGCCTCCCTCGCCCTGCAGCCTTTTCCCCAAGGTCTCCCTTGGGGTGGGGGCGCAGTAACCTTCTTCCCGTTACCCCCACCAGAATCAATGGTCCCTCCCATTCCCCCACCCTTGACAAGGGAATGACAATTTTGCTTCCCGGGAAAACTTTCACTTTTCCCGTGTCTGTTTTCCTTTAAGCTTTGACGGTGCGAGTCTCTCTTTCCATCCCTCCAAAGCTGCCCCCCCCCCGGGCGCGACTTCACCCCAGGTGCCGGCAGGGGGCGCTCTCTTGGCTGCCGAGTGAAGAGACCACTGCGCATGCTCCACTCCGGCTGATTGTTCTGAATGTTCCGGCTGAGAGTTGCTCCCTGGGAATCCGGTGGGGGCGGGTAAGAGGGGATCGATCCCGCGACTCAGATCCTGCCCAGGGGAGGGAAGGAGATTCTGAGGTCGGAGGGAGCGGGAAGTCCGCCCCATAGCTGCTCTTGGCTGCGCATGCGGGGAGATCCACGAATTGGGGAGTGGGGAGGAGAGAAGGAAGGAATCCTCTGCTCACATCTCCATTTAGATTCAGATTCAGATTCCGAGGCTGGGAGGATCTTTGAAGAGCCAGCGGAGACCAGCTGTCCGGCGTTGCCAGTGGCTGTAAGATCCCTGCTAAGCCTGTCAAAGGAGAGGAGAAGCAGGAAGAGCTGCAGGTCAGAGAAGCTTCTTTTGTGGAATCTGAAGGGATCTTCACTTGCTTGAATTCTTCCATTTCTCCCTGAATTCCCCTATTGGGTCACATCCATCGCCACTGATGGACAGAAGGGTCTTGTGGGCAGAAAATAAATGCAGATCCTCTTTTGTCCTGTCCTCTTAACTGCTCTTCTTCGCTTATATTTCAGGTTCTGAGATCCTTCCAGGAATGGGGAGGAATTGGATGGATCTCACAAATCTTTCTCCTGATCTTTCAGAGGGATTCCCAAGGATAAAAGTCAAGGTCAGGATACCTCTCTAGGTAAGGGGAGACTGAGCCACTGGATTAGAGACTTTCTAGAAAAAGTCTAGTTCTCCTTAATTCTCTGTATCTTCTCGTGTCTTAGTCGTTGGACTTAGTAGAAAGTGACCCAATAAGAAAGAAAGAACTCTGTCTTCAAGCTAGAAGACTTAAGGCACACAAAGGAATTCCCTCCCTTCAGAGCAAGCCTATGGTTGGCCTTTCCCAGAAGACTCTTGTGGGGAACACCTTGAGTTGCATTCTGGCTCCTCCTCCATTCTGAGAGATTTCTCTTTGTTTTTGGCTTTCATTAAGAGATATTTTTGACTAAATTCCTACATAGATCCCTGCTGGGCCATTTCCAACACTGTCACTAATTTCTCTGATTTCAAACCGCAGAGAGTGGGGGGAGAATTTACAGTGATTGAGCAAATGCTTTGGTTGCCAAGAGCTTCCAGATGTTGTTCCAAAGGTTAGGAGAACAATCTAACTGAGGTTTGTTCTTCAGCATGCGATGGGTTTGGTCTTCTCCTTTCATTCTTGGCTCCCATGATGGAGCCTATGAAAGGCAGAGTGTAGAAGAGAAAGAAATGGAGATTTCCTGGGCAGGACAGGAAGAAATCTTAAATTGTGCCTTCAAGCTAGAAAAGATGACATTGAACCCTTTCCTGTTTCCATCCTGTCTCTCCTTCCCAGTGGACAAAATGGAGTCACCGTTGTTCATTGAATCATCTCCTTCTATTGGTGAAGCTGAAGGAGCTGCTGGATTCCTGTCTCAGGTAGGAAGGAAGAAATTAGCAATTTATATGAGGGAGGAGTAGGAGAGCTCTGGTTTCCTTTGGGGACTCAACCTATGATACTGCTATTCCTGAGCAAAGCACAACAAGGAAATTAGAAATTTAAATTTACAATCAGTCAAACTAGGCCCACCTCTCAACAAAGATTTGGAGATCTATGGAATTCTTTAGTGGTTGTACAGTATAATGATGGTTTCAAAAAATGCCACAGGGCACTTCATGATGCCTGTCCCAAGTAAAGCAAAAAAGACACATGAATAGTTAGGCTAAATTTACTTTATTAGTTTAGCCTAAACTAAACAAGTATTATAATCTTGTTTTCCTATTGTCGGAGAAAGGGAGGAAAACAGGAGAAACAGAAATTGCTTTGTGTATCATCTACATCTTGATGCCTGGAAACACCTCCCTAGTATTTTCATGAATGTTCATGAGTGGGTTTTTTTTTTCCAATTTAATTTTTTTTCCAATTTTTTATTAGTTTATTGAAGTATAAAATACAAAGGAAAAAAACATCAAAAAATAAGAAGAGAGGAAGGAGAAAAGAGGGGGTATCGTGTAATGGGAGAAAAAAAAGCCATCAACTTTCGACACTCTTTGGTACCGTCGAAGGTAACAACATTACAGTGATAAGGTTTTGCTTCTACACAACATAATGTACAAATTATTTCTATAAAAATAAGCCTGTCTAGTTTCCAAAAACAGAATAAAAGTTTCTTTTTTTTTTCTCATTGCAAACAGAAAATCCTGAAGCAATTTCAGGCTAGAGACAAAATGAAATATGACCTCTTATTTGGATAAAAGAATCATTTTAACCATCTCAACTTCTTGCTGTGGGGAATAATATAGAAGCTTCGTCCTCCACACACACGACACCGAAAATAAGCCCTGGTGCTTATTTTGGCAACCAAAGAATTATAAAACCTGGTTCTATTTTTGGGAAAACATAGTATTAGATTAAAACCACAGCTTTTATCCTTATATTTCAAACAAATGAATATTCCATGCTTCCTTATTTTGGCTGCCTCCACCAATCCTCTCCCTGTTGTTTTATAATAAAGAAGTGTCAAAAATAGCGTTCAAAAACCAGTGGTAAGCTGTAACTAAAGAGCCTGTATAGCTTCTAAAGGTAATAGTCTCATAAATTGTTTAAGAAATGAAGGATACAGCTTATTGTTTCTTTGAAAAATAAATGCCAAAATGGCTCTTTTGTCCAACAACGACATAGTTTTTTTTTTGAAAAAGTTTTATTTTAGATTAAAAATAAAATAAAAAAATAATTAAAAAAAACACAACAATAACATAAAAATATCATCCTTACAAACTTACAAACAAAATTATAGACAGCATCTCAATCTGTTAAAATCATTTCGTGCTTACAATTCTCCAAATCTCCTCATATAACAATTATTCTTTACTTAAACTAAAAATACATATTTAAACATTTCATATATGCTATCTCATCTCCATACTTTTTTATCAAACCATTGATAAAATATCTCCCATATCAAATAATATTGTTTATCTTCCTGTTCTCTTATTTCAAATGTCAATCTACTCATTTCAGCACAGTCCAACATTTTCATAATAATTTCTTCATCGGTAATTATCTTCTCTCCTTTCCAGTTTTTGGCAAATACAATTCTGGCCACTGTTAAAATGTTCACAATTAAGTATTGTAATTCTTTATTAAATGTCTCTGGTAAAATTCCTAGTAAAAATATTTCTGGTTTAAAGTCAATATATCTCTTTGTCATTTTTTCTAACCACGTATGTATTTTAGTCCAAAATCTTGCTTCCACGCATGTCCACCATATATGGTAATACGATCCTGGAATTTGATGACACTTCCAACATTTCTCCGATTTATTCTTAAACATCCCAGCTATTCTCGTCGGGGGTAGATGCCACCTGTAAAACATCTTATACAAATTCTCTTTATATGCTGTTGACATTGTCATTTTATAATTATGTGACCACAATTTTTGCCATTTCTCTAAATCAATACTATAACCAAAATTTTTCCCTCATGCTATCATTGATTCTTTAACTTGTTCTTCTTCCAGTTTTGCTTCAAGTAAATATCCATATAGCTTTTTAATTATATGGTCATCTGAACCCATTAATATCTTGTCTAAACCAGTCGAAACACTATAAATACCTTCTTGTTTAAAGTCTTCTCGATATCTGGAAAGTATTTGCATGTATGAAAACCAATCTTTTTTAATTCCCTGATCTTCTAAGTTTTGTTTCAATTTAAGTTCACCCTTTTCATCCAATAATTCATTATATCTAACAATTTGTTCCCCTTCAAATACCACTGGATAAGAAAAAGCTTCAATTGTAGATACCCAGACTGGAATCTTCAGATAATGGTACTTTTTGATCTTCTCCCATGTCAAAAACAAAGCTTCACGTATCTGGTGCCTTCTAAAATACCCCTGAATTTTAGTTCCTTTATACCATAAAGGAACTATGGTTCCTTTATCATGTCCCTCCAAATTTAATAATCATGTCCCTCCAAATTTAATAATCTAGTATTTTTCAATATCACCCATTCTTTAATCCACATTAAACAAACCGCTTGATAGTATAAATCAAAATCCGGTAATCCAAAACCACCCCTCATCTTTGTATCTTGTAACAATTTAAGTTTTATCCTTGCCTTCTTTCCCTGCCAAACATATTTCAAAACCATTTTATTTAAATCTGTAAAAAATTCCTTACCCAGCTTTACAGGAATTTTTTGAAAAAGATACAAAATTCTAGGTAAAATATTCATCTTAATAGTTGCAATTCTACCAATCAAAGATAACTGCAAGTTTCCCCATTTCCCCAAATCCTGTCCTATCTGTTGATTAAGCTTATTATAATTATTTTCTTTAAGAGAACTACAACAACGACATAGTTTGGACCCCACCTCCCAGCTTCAGCTCACCAGTTATCTTGGAAGCTCAGCTTCTAAAACTACTTGCAGGTTGTTGTTGTTATCGGAGAATCTTGAGGGATGATTCTGGGACTTTCCTTAACCTCGGAAAGTCAAGCGGCCAAAAGGAATCCTGCTCCTCCTGTTGTTAAATTGGAAAAACGACAGTCCAGGGAGAAGTGATTCTCTGGCCATGTCAGCTGTAAGCCATGTCATCCCCCCTTTTCCCCTTTCTTCTTACTTTTCCATGTTTTTTTTTTCTTTGTATTTTATACTTCGAAAACAAAAATGTTAAATTGAAATGTTCATGAGTGTGAGCAAGGGTGACCCTTTAAAGAATCACAAAGATTATTTGCTTACGATATCAGACAGAAATCCCGCAGAACCTCTTGCAAACATGAAATGTTGGGGCCAGTGGTAGATGGTTTATCTTAAGGCACTCTATGCCACTTGATCAAGGCAGGTTGATGATACTGAAGGTCAGCAGAGTCAGTCAAGGTGATAAAACATGGACTAATTGAATGTCAGCAGTAGGCTGTGAATTCTGCCCTTTTTGTCATATAATGTGTTGAGTCCATCTAGGGAAATGTCCATTCCTTACTTTTACTTTGGCTTTTAGTTCCAAAGGTGCTTTTTTCAAGAGGCAACTGGACTTTCTGATTGTTGAAGAAACTTCTTGGATGAGAAGCGAAATGCCTTCAAAGAAAAACCATAAAGTCCAGTTGCCTTTTGAAGAAAGCACCTTTGGGACAACCATGACTATGGATAACTGAGAATCTCCATAGACATTTGTACTTTTAGGATTTGCAAATTGAAGGAGATTTTTCAAATTCTATCAAGTCTGCTCACAGGGATTCTTCCTTCTTTAGGGTCCTGTGTCCTTTGGGGAGGTGGCCATCCATTTCACCAGTGAAGAGTGGTTGCTGCTTGATTCCAGCCAGAAAGCCTTGTATCAAGAAGTCATGTTGGAAACGTCTAGGATGCTGGCCTCTTTAGGTAAAGGTTCCTCTATACGTAACTTATTAAAAATGATTTCATCTCTTCTTTTTTCCTCTTACATTAATTCCAGGCCCCCTTCATGGTCTTCTAAGTAGCACAGTTTCATTTAGAAGAAAGAGATCAGTGTGGTGATCAGGAAGTATTGACATTCAGTCTTGTGGTCATCCTTGGGCCCTGGTCATTATACCACAGTGATTGGGAAGATATTCAGGGAGAGAATATTTTTGCCTGTTGCAGTTGTCCTACTCACCAATAAAGTTTGTCTTGCTTTGAGTTGCAGTGACATATGTTGTCTTATTGCATGCAAGTTGGGTGCATTATATGCGAGACAATTTGTGTGCCACGTCCTGATATCAAGATGTGTTTTTGCTTTAAATTTTTAACTGCCGAGGGTTAGATGATCAGCCATGTTAATCTTTTAAGTTATTAAGTAATATGCATGCTGTCATTTCCATCGTTCCTTTCTCTGGAGATGCCCAGTAATAGATAAATCTATGCATAGGGACACCAAAGTGGAGGTTGTAGTTTATTCTAATTTATTTTTCCCCCCACAAGCATTTGATGCACAGAAGAAGGAAAACGACCAAGAGCCAAATTTAGTACCGTTGCAAATAATCACAACTGAAATTGCTGAGGAGACATCTACAAATAAGCAGAGAAGGAAGAAACATGAAAAGAAGCACAACTGGAGAGAAAAATCTGTTGTTGAATGTGTGGAAATGGATTGCTTCCTGACCAAACGTGATTCCAAAGAAAATACGGGGAAATGTCAAAGTAGAAAAAGATCCAAAGCAAACCCCAATGTTAGTAACCCCTGCAAAACTGGGAAAAGCTCCAGCAGTAATAATCTTACTTCACATAAAATGAACGAGGCAAGGGAGAAGCCCTACAATGGCGTGGACTGTGGAAAAAACATTGGGAGAAGAGGTAATTTAACTTCTCATAAAAAAATCTATAAATGTGTGGATTTTGGAAAAGGGTTCAGCATGCAGTGTTCCCTTACGTCCCATAAAAGGATACATACAGGAGAAAAACCCTATAAATGCATGGAGTGTGGAAAGAGCTTCAGGGGAAGCAGTGGACTTAATTGTCATAAACGGATCCACACAGGAGAAAAACCCTATAAATGCATGGAGTGTGGGAAGAACTTCAGTGTAAAGAGTTCTCTTACTTCTCATAAATGGATCCACACAGGAGAAAAACCCTTTAAATGCAAACAGTGTGGGAAGAGCTTCACAACTAGTAGTTACCTGATATGCCACAAAATGATCCATACAGGGAAAAAACCTTACAAATGTGTGGACTGTGGGAAAAGGTTCACTACGAAATGTTCCATTACAGCCCATAAAAAGATACATACAGAAGAAAGACCCTTTAAATGCAAGGTGTGTGGGAAGAGCTTCAAGGGAAAGAGTTCTCTAAATTGTCATAAACTGATCCACACAGGAGAAAAACCCTATAAATGCCTAGACTGTGGGAAGGGCTTCACCCACAGCAGTACCCTTGCTTCCCATAAACGGGTCCACACAGGAGAAAAACCCTTTACATGCATGGAGTGTGGAAAGAGGTTCAGTGTAAAGAGTTCTCTTACTTCTCATAGACGCATCCACACAGGAGAAAAACCCTATAAATGCCTAGACTGTGGGAAGGGCTTCAGGCAAAGCTGTGACCTTGCTTCCCATAAACGGGTCCACACCGGAGAAAAACCCTATAAATGCATGAAATGTGGAAAGAGCTACAAAAACAGCAGTTACCTGAACCTCCATAAACGGCTCCACACGGGAGAGAAACCCTATACATGCCTGGAGTGTGGAAAGAGCTTCACTATCAAGACTTCACTTACTTCTCATGAACGGCTCCACACAGGAGAAAAACCCTATAAATGCCTAGACTGTGGGAAGGGCTTCAGCCGAAGCAGTAGCCTTGCTTCCCATAAACGGGTCCACACAGCAGAAAAACCCTTTAAATGCATAGAATGTGGAAAGAGCTTCAAAAGTAGTATTTACCTGATATGCCATAGAAGGATCCATTCAAGGGAAAAACCTTATAAATGTGTGGATTGTGGGAAAAGGTTCAGTATGCAGTGTTCCCTTACATCCCATGAAAGGATCCATACAGGAGAGAAACCCTATAAATGCATGGAGTGTGGAAAGAGCTTCAGGGGAAGCAGTGCACTCAATTGTCATAAACGGGTCCACACAGGAGAAAAACCCTATAAATGTACGGAGTGTGGGAAGAGCTTCAGCCAAATCGGTAGCCTTGTTTCCCATAAACGGGTCCACACAGGACAAAAACCCTATAAATGCATGGAATGTGGAAAGAGCTTCAGTGTAAAGAGTTCTCTTACTTCTCATAAACGGGTCCACACAGGAGAAAAACCCTTTAAATGCATGCAGTGTGGGAAGAGCTTCACAACTAGTAGTTACCTGATATGCCACAAAAGGATCCATACAGGGAGAAAACCTTATAAATGTGTGGATTGTGGACAAAGGTTCAGTGTGAAGGGTTCCCTTACTTCCCATAAAAGGGTACATACTGGAGAAAAACCCTTTAAATGCATAGAATGTGGGAAGGGCTTCAGAAGTAGTAATTACCTGATGTGCCATAGAAGGATCCATTCAGGGGAAAAACCTTATAAATGTGTGATTTGTGGACAAAGTTTCAGAACGAAGTGTTCTCTTACAACCCATGAAAAGATACATACAGAAGAAAGACCCTTTAAATGCATGGAGTGTGGAAAGAGCTTCAGGGAAAGCAGTTCTCTTAATTGTCATACACTGATCCACACAGGAGAAAAACCCTTTAAATGCCTAGACTGTGGGAGGGGCTTCAGCCAAAGCGGTACCCTTGCTTCCCATAAACTGGTCCACACAGGAGAAAAACCCTATACATGCATGGAGTGTGGAAAGAGCTTCAGTGTAAAGAGTGCTCTTACTTCTCATGAACGGGTCCACACAGGAGAAAAACCCTATAAATGCCTAGACTGTGGGAAGGGCTTCAGCCGAAGCAGTAGCCTTGCTTCTCATAAACGGGTCCACACAGGAGAAAAACCCTATAAATGCATGGAGTGTGGAAACAGTTATAAAACCAGCAGTTACCTGATCCTCCATAAGCGTATCCACACGGGAGAGAAGCCCTATACATGTATGGAGTGTGGAAAGAGCTTCACTATCAAGACTTCTCTTACTTCTCACAAAAGGACACACACAGGAGAGAAACCCTATAAATGTATACAGTGTGGGAAGAGCTTCAGCCGAAGCAATCAACTTAGTTTGCATAACAGGGTCCATACAGGGGAAAAACCTTATAAGTGCACAGAGTGTGGAAAGACCTTTGCTGCCAGTAGGTCTCTGACTTCCCATAAAAGGATCCACACAGGAGAGAAACCCTATATATGCCTGGAATGTGGGAAGAGCTTCAGATTCAACAGTAACCTTGGTTTACATAAGAGGATCCACAGCGGAGGGAAATAGAAATGTACAGAATGCGGAAGGAGTTTTTGTGAATGAGAATGCTTCTCAAGAAAGAATCCACAATGGGCAGAAAATATACTGTGGACAGCAATCAATTTATTTCCCTTACGGATAAATATAAAAATGAATGGACAAAGAAGATAGACCTTTAGGTAGTCAAGTTAAATATTTGGGAGTATACGTAACATACTTAAGTGAGATGTGCAACAATTAAAGGAGATAACTATAAAAGATTAATACAATAAATTAAATTGGACTTGGAGAACTGGAAAACCTTGCAACTGTCAATGAGAGGAAGAATAATAACCATAAAAATTAATATCCTGCTGAAGGTGCTCTTTTTGTTCCAAACAATCCCTATAAAAGTAGAGAGAAAAATACTTTGATGAGCTAAATAATAATAATAATAACAACCTTTATTGTCACTGAACAACATATGTACAATGAGATTGGTGGAGCTCCCTCAGTGCACCTTCCCAACGCATTACAACTCACGGTGAAGACTTAAAATCCCTAACCCAATAAATCATACTAACAAACACCCAGTCCTATTGCACCAGTGCAAGCATGTTACACATTGCACCGGCCCTGCAAGTCCATCGTACTATGTAGTTATGATGTTATTTTGCATTCAGGAATCTTGACAGCCCACGGATAAAAAACGTTTTTCAGCCTGTTCGTCCAATTGGCTATGCTTCTATATCTCCTTCCCGATGGTAGGAGTTTAAAGAAGTAGTGACCAGTGTGAGAATTGTCCCTGAGAATTTTCCTCACTCTTCTAAGGCAACAAGCCCTAGTGATCTCATCTAGTGGTATCAGGGACAGCCTACAATGTTTTGTGTTCTGCTCACCACCCTCTGTAATAATTTTCTATCCGCTGCTGTCAAGCCGGCATGCCATACCATGATGCAATAAGTGAGGACGCTTTCTATTGTGGACCGATAAAAGGATGTCATCAGTTGTTGTTCCACCTTGTTTTTATGCAAGATCCTAAGGAAATGGAGTCTCTGTTGGGCCTTCCTGCCCAACTGGATCATGTTCTTTTTCCAGGTGAGGTATTCGCTGAGATAGACTCCCAGGAATTTAAAGGAGGAGACTCTACACAGCCCCACTCGATGTAAAGTGAGGCAGGTTTCTCACTCTTCCTCCAGAAGTTCAACACCATTTCCATCATTTTACTGATGTTCAGGTGCAGGTTTTTTTTAATCACCATGTGGATAGTTTTTGAACCTCCCCCCTGTGCACTGTTTTGTCTCCATCTGTAATAAGACCCAGTATGGTGGTGTCATCTGTGAACTTAATGATCACAGTGGATGGGTCAGATGATACACAATTTTTTGTACAGTGAATACAGGTAGAGACTGAGCACACAACCCTGTGGGAAATCAGTGCTAAGTTTCAGGGAGGTGAATATGACAGACCCAACCCTCACAGTTTGTGGCCAGTCCCTCAGAAAGTCTTTGATCTAGTCACAAATGGAAAGGAAAATCCAAGTCAATCAGCTTTTCGATAAGGATGCTCGGAAGAATGGTATTGAAGGCTGAGCAATAGTTTTATGAAAAACATCCTGTCATAGTTCCCGGGTTTCTCCAGATGGCTCGCTATAGAATGTAAAGCAGTAGGTATGGCGTTGTCTGTCCACCTATTCCCCCTGTAGGCAAACTGATGTTTGTCAAAGTCTAATGGGAGGCATGTCCTAAGGTGTTGGAGAACCAATCTCGAAGCATTTCATCAGTACAGATGTTAGTGCAATAGGTCTGTAGTCATTTAGGCAGTTAGTTGCTGTTTCAAGACTGGGACAATAGTGGCTGCTTTCAAGCATGATGGAACACAGGCCAATTGCAGAGAGATGTTAAAGATCCTTGTCAGGACCCAGCTAATTGATCGGCACAATTCTTTACCACTATCCCCAGGACCCTATCTGGGCCTGCAGCTTTGCAAGGATTCACATCCTTCAATACAGTTCTCACTTGGTGTTTGTAGAGAGGGAGTGGCTGGGAATCAGAAGGCCGGCAGGCAGTGGCTACAGGATCTGGTCTTTTCACCTCGTAGCGTGTGAAGGTGTTCAACTCCTCCACCAACGGGGCGTCAGTGTTGACCATGTTCCTCGTGTTGCCCTTATAGTTAGTTAGATGCTAACACCTACCACATGTGCTTCGGATTGTTATCTGCCAGATACATACAATACAATACAAAAATACAATAATCTTGAAATACGTTAAGCAACAAAAAAGAACAAGAATAAGACTGAAAATGCTGCAAGAATCTAATAACAATGGGGGCTTTGGGTTGCGGATTGGGAGCTTTATTACCAGGCTTCTGTACTAACTTGGGTGAAAGAATGGCTAAATCTAAGACATAGAAGACTACGACTGTTGAAGGGACATGATCTTCAATTGGGATGGCATGCCTTTTTCTGGTAGGAAAAGAATAAAATACATATTTTCATAAACACTGATGATCCTGGACATGGCATAAAGGCAACACAGCCAGAAAATAAGTATGAATCCCTTTATTAGCTCCAACTTTGTCTGCACAATGTCCTGTTTAATCTCCGGTCTGGAGAAAAACTCACCCACAAATCAGTAACAGCCTTTGGCTGAAAATACTTCAATCCAAGCGTTATAAGCAGAAAATGTCCAAATATAAATCTAACAAGGCAAGATAAAGTAATTAATCTGGCAGGGCAAGCAAGATAAGGAGTTCCAGAAGTAAAGTAACATGGCAATAAATCAAACCAGTTGGGAGGATGCCAGGAACTCCGATAAAGCAATTAACATGACAAACTCTGTTTCTTCCCAACAACTGACCCTCCCATTTTCCTCTCCTTTAAACTCCATCCCCAGGTGTGCCTTGTGAAGGGAATTGGGGCTCTTTCCTCCCACGTAAGCCATACAACCCATGTTGCTCTCTTCTCTATTCTTCCCTGCATGTCCTAGGATGAGGAAGGGGTGGGCCTTGGTCTTCATCTGAATCCCCTCTCCCTTGTTCTACCTCTCCCCTGCTCTGCCCATCTTGACTTTTCCCTTCCCCAGTTTCCTCCACAGGCAATGGAGCCACTCTCGCTCTCTGTCAGCTGTTCATCTTTCCCTCGGATTCAGACTCCAACGAGGGCTTAACAGACACTATGTAAGAAATGCTCTACTCTTGGTATGGGAAAAGGTTAAAGCTAAAAACTATATGAAAATACCAATTTTGCATTCCACAATGGAAGCACTGATACATCCAAATGTTGTAAACTCGGAAAAAATTGTAAAATATAAAGACATTCTGAATGAGGAAGGGGAACTACAAACAAAACAGGAACTACAAAACCAAGATGTGGGCCTAGCATGGTGGCCACACCTGCAAATACAATCAAGATATGAGAAAGATGCAAAGACACATGGTTTCTATAAAGAGCCAACAACACTTGACCAGATACTATTAGTGATGGAAGAAAAATAAATAAAGAAAATATGTAACATTCTATTCTGGAGAAACATCTCAAGTTGGGATGGTGAATTGATTGGACCATGTGATGGACATGTGGATGCAGGGAAAGAGACTTTTGACTTTCTTTTGGTTGGGGAAAACCCAGGGGGACTTTCAGATTCAGGTTTTCCCAGATGTGCCAATATGACATCTCTAATAAAATGGAACTTTGAGGAAATGCCTGCGTTGGAGTTTTACTTCTGTTGGGGGTATTACTTGGAACCCTGACAAATGTATATATATATATATATTTAAAAAAACTTATTTCCCTTATTAATATGACCCACATCAGGGCTATATACAGGACGGGAGAGAGATCCCTTTAGGGACTTAAGTGTCCTTAATTTGTTTAAAAGGATCCATGGTGAAATGAAACCATCTAAACTCAAGGCCCGCGGGCCGGATAGGGCTCATGATGTGGTTGGATCCAGCCCGCATGGCTGTCCTGCATTGGTTCGCCCCAGCCCATCACATCCCAGCACGCGCATGCACACATACGCACATCGTGGCAAGTGCACGTATACAGCGGAGGAGGCGGGTGCACGCCGGGATGGGGCAGGCTGGCTGTGCGCATATGCGCCTGCTGCATTCTGTGAACATGCGTGCCTGCCAGTATGGTGTGGGCAGGGCCTATGCATGTGTGTACCCAGCACCCCCAATGCACAAACACATCCGATGGGATGGGATGGGATGGGCAGGACAAAAGACACGGGCCTGCTCCTTACCGTTTCCAGGGTGGTTGCACTTACTGGCCTTTCAGGTGTGTATCTGCACAGAGGGGAAGGTGTCCAGTAGCAGGGACTCTGCAGCTGGCCCTCCAAGAAACAGGCATGGTGGTGTTGGCAACAGCAGCAGGCAGAGTCAGGGGGGAAGAGGCACATGATGCGCACCGCTGGGTGTGCTGCTCAATCCCATATGGCAAGGACAGGGCAGGTGGCTGCCCAGTGCATTCAGCAGGCCAAACTATGTGCCTCTACTTCTATGTATTGCTGTGGCTGCAGGCCAAAACATGAGGAGTGCATGGGGCGGCTGCTGCAAGACACCATCAGACCACCTACGCCATCCCGTCTCTTTTGCTTGCGTTTGGAGAGCTGGTCATCTCTATCCCTCACAGCTCTTGCCCTTGGCCCATACGTGGAGCATGTTCCTGTCATGCATCCCTAGCACCACAAAGGCTGCCAGCAGCTTGTGCAGGTATAGGCCACTGCTGTCACTGGCCAGAGCACCAGACCGAGGCAGCCCAAAGGAGGCGAAGCAGCCAGCTAGAAAAGCCAATTAGAGGTGGCATAGCATGCCCATTCCCAGCAGGCGGCCACCGCAAGCTGTGAAAAGCTGGATCATCATGGGCACCATGGCCACCCAAGCCCAGCCAGGATCGCGTGCCTCCACCCACATCTTCTAGCCCTGGGCAGTCAGGTTGCCAATGGGGATCTGGCTTTCCCCACTCACGGTAGCTGTTCTTTGCCTGCTGGGCCTGGGCATGCTTTACCACCTCTGTTTGGCCTTTCTAGCTGGCTCCTTTGCCTCCTTCAAGCTGGGCAGGTCTGCCGAGTGGTGGTGGAGTTGCCACTGATGATGTGCCTCCTTCACCAGAGTTGCTTGGTGGGGAGAGCTGAGCCTTGCCTAGCCCTGCAAGGCAGCAGCTCCAGAGCACTTTCGGGATGCTGCCGAATGGATTCAGCTCCTTCAGACAGAGCCCCTTAGGCTGCGATCCCTTCCCTGGACTGAAGTCAGGTTTCTGTCTTGCAGTCCCCCTGCCTCATCTCTGAACCAAGCTGAGAGTTGCAGCCAAATTCCCCGCTCAACCAGTGTTCCCCGAAGGTGCAGCTTAGCCACGGTGCCCATGAAAAGGGGTGGTTCTGTGGTAGCAGGGCTTCCCTTCGTGCAAGCAGCCGAGTTGACAGGGCACTGCCTGAACTGGTGCCCGGTTCATCCAGCCTTGGGTCAGGCACCGCTTCCTAGCCCACCCACCCCCACGATTTGGGGAAGCTCAGCCGGGTATCACGTTGGGTCTGGTAGCTGGCTTGGAAGCGCCACTCCCTTGCCAGCTTCCTGCCAGACCTGCTTTGATGCAATCCTGTCGTGCACCACTGTGAGCTGCTGCAGTCGGGTGTGCAAGTGGAACATGGATCACACGCAGGCCAAGAGGGGGCCACCCGCGAGGGGAATGAAGATGACCAGCGGCAACTTGCTCTCCAACCACAAGCCAAAACACACAGTGGGACACAGCACATCCAGTGGTCCACATCACATTCCTCTGCCCCCCGCCCCCGCTTGATGCTTGGACAGCCAGTCCAATGGTGGCAGCAGGCCTGGAGCCGCAACATTGTCCAACTGAGGGGCTGGCATGCGTCTACAAACCTTTCCCCCCACATAAAAAGGGTGCTAGCACATGGTGGCCAACGGGTTTCCAGCTGTAGCTGCCCTGCCCCTTGCCTCGCTTCACCTCACCCTGCGGGAAAAGCCTCCTGCCTCCCGCCCCACCCATCAGAAACCCCTGGATTCCCTGCTTAAATCTGCCCGGCCCACAGAGCACTATCCCAGGGAGCTGCATCAAACCGGCCACGCACTTGGCCACACCCATTTGGTCGAAGCCTCCCCTTTCCCCCAGCCCCGCCCTCCCCCCTGTCCTGGCCCCTGGAGAACAACCAAAATGCTGATCCAGCCTTCAGTCAAATTGAGTTTGACACCCGTGTATTGCAAGTGGAAATCTCTCCCAAATACAGGCAGAGGCATAGAATCAAAATCTTGTGAAGTATTAGTACCGCTTTATAAAGCTTTAGTAAGTCCACACCTGGAATACTGCAACTAATTTTGGTCTAACTAAGATGAACAAAGGTCTGGGGACTAAAACATATGAAGAACGGTTGCAGGATTTGGATATGACTAGTCAACCTAGATTTCAACCTTGAACTAGGGATACATTTTCTGACGGAACAATTAATCAATGGAACAGGAGTTGCCTTCAGGAGTTGTGGGAAGTTTATCACTGGAAGCTTTCAAGAAGAGATTGGGCTGCCATCTGTAAGAAATAGTGTAGGGTCTCCTGCTTGGGCGGGGGATTGGATTAGAAGACATACACGGTCCCTTCCAACTTTGTTTATCTAGTCTAGTGAAATAAAAGGGATGACACGATAGCAGTATTCCAATATTTGAATATTGGAGGGGTTTATTTTCCAAAGCAAGACAAGGAAAAATGGATGGAAACTGATCAAGGAGAGAAGCAACCTGGAATGAAGGAGAAACTTCCTAACAGTGAGAACAATTATCCAGTGCAACATTTTGTCTTCAGAAATTCTGGGCGCTGCATCACTGGAGGTTTTTAAAAAGAGACTGAACAATCATTTGTCTGAAATGGTATAGGATGTCCTGCTTGAGCAGGGGACTGATCTAGAAGACCTCCAAGGTCCCTTCCAGGTCCGTTCCATTCTGTTGTATTCTCCCAACTGAAAAAGAATTTAAAAATGATTTTATTGATCCAACAGTACCAAATAACCAATATTTTTTTAAAAAAAAACCTTACATTTCTTGATTTAAATTTTTCATTCTTCAGTTTCTCAGATTAAAGTAATCAGTACTATATTTTCTATTTCTCAAGATTTCAAATGTACTTTAGTGTGTCTATTTCATTTTGTGATTCAAGTTGATCAGAAAGATCAATCAGACTTGACACGTTAAGGGACCGTAGCATTGGTATGGATTCAGAGAAAACTGTTAGTATTATGATGTGACTGTGATTTTTATCTTAATATAGCTTTTTAAAAAACATATTTCCTACAGTTCCTACTGTTGACTATGGAAAGTCAACAGTAAATTGACATTATCAATACCATATAAAGAAAATGCTTATAAGATGTTTTACAGATGGCACCTTCCCCCAGCACGAATTTCAAAAATGTTTCCCAATACTTCCCCCCTTTGTTGGAAATGCAAAATACAAAAAGGGACATACTACCACATGTGGTGGTTATGCCCAAAAGCAAAACAATTTTGGAATAAAATCAAAATCCAACTGGAAGAAATAACAGCACAAAAAATACCATTAAAACCGGAAACATATTTACTGGGTATACTTACAAATAAATATGAAAAAGAAACAATATATTTGATTACACATATTCTGACTGCAGCAAGAATCATCTTTGCACAAAATTGGAAATCGGAAGAAATCCCAACACAAGATAAACTAATATCAAAAGTAATGGAATGTGCCGAGATGGACAAGCTCACTAAAGAAATCCAAGAAAAGGAAGAATCTGATTATTATCTGGTTTGGCAAAAGTGGCATCAATGCCTAGAGAAAAGGAAAACCAAATAAAAAGATGATCCTAAAAGATTCAAACCAAATCGTATACCAAGGAAATTCAATAGAATTACAACAAAATCTCAAAAAATACCGTTATATAAAGTGAGATGTGGGAATATATATTGAGAAATACAATTTACCGATGTATTTTCTTAAGAAATAAGATATTATGCTTAAATGTTATATATGTTGTGTATTGTTTTATTTTGTACTTGTTTGTGTTGGTTTTTTTTCCTGTTCTGTGTGTGTATGTTTTTTTTTAATTCAATAAAATAAAAAAAAAACAAAAAAAAAACACCCCAAAATCTATAAAAAGAATATCAGTGGTCAGCTTCCTTTTACAGTGTCCATTCAGCTCTTCCTGCAATAGCTCTATGCGATTGGAGTCCGGGTCTCCATTCCTCAGAAGGAGGAGGCTTCAGTGACTTCAGCTCCGAATCCGAACTGCTTTGCCTCCTGGAGAGCAGCTCCTTATATACTGTGTGAGTGGCAGTTACAAAAGCCGGGGAAATTCAAAAACAGGAACTACACTCTGATTGGCCCATTCAAATATCTAAGCCAAGAGCCAATCAATAGGCACAGCAACTGTGAGGGAATTTCCTCTCACATAAACGGACTCTGGGGAAGGGTAGAGGACAGGAAGGCCTGAAGGAACGTTGTCCAAGGACCCAACTTCGCTACTAACAACAACCCCCCTGGGAACCCCTTTGCCCGGTTCTGCACCTGAGGGCTATCACACTGGGAGGGGAGGGGCCAAGAGGAAAGGGGAGGAGTCACACAAGCTCCCACCTCGCTTATGTCTCACCTGGGGGGTCCCAATCAACTTCCCCCCCAGCAGCATCAGTGGTCCCTCCCACTCCCCCACCTTTACCGTGGGTCCTCCTTCCCCCTTCGCTTCCAGGGTCCCCACCAGCAGTAGCAACGGCAACGGGCGGAGCCCATGGAGGCTTCTCCCAAGGCCTCTCCCCAAGAGAGGGGAGAAGTGGAATTGGGCAGGGCTTGACAAGAATACTTTAGAGTTGTCCTGACAGAAATCTGTTGCACCAATGGGAAGCCTCCCTTCTGATGAGTCATTTGTCTCTGGGTAGAATCTCTGGTGATTTCTTTCTGCCGGAAAGCCTTTGGAGCAGAAAAGAGAAAGGGGGAGGGGCTGCACAGATTTTGTGCAGCAGAACTGGGGGGGTCCCCAAGAGTCCCAGGCGGGCCCTGAGTCAAGCAATGTCTCCGGGAGGCAAGGATTGCTGAGATGGGGAAATCCCAGGCTACGAGCCGATGAGGCCCAAAATCTAGAGGTGTCCTCCAGCCACGGCTCACTTGTTTTTCCCACGACCCCCGTGACACGTGTCTCTGGCCTTCCAGTGCAGGACCCACTCTGGCTTTCCAGAGGCCTTTCTGTCTGGCTCTCCTCCCTCGGCTTCACAGGGAGCCCGTTTCCCTGACCTCCTGGGAATTATGTCATCCTTAATGACTTAATTCTGAATTACACGAATACTGAAGCTCGGTGATCAAGGTCTGAGACAATGGAAGGCATCAGGCTCAAAACATCAAAAGCAGCAGAATGTGTCATGGTCTGCCAGATTTGGGGGGGGGGGAGCCTCAAGACCACCCCTGTCTATCAGTCCCCACTTGCTCCAGAAAGGCTCCTTAGCATGCTAAAAGGTGTCTATGGAGATTCTTAGTCCTCCAGGTTGTGGTTGTCCCAAGGAGCTTTCCAAGAGGCAACTGGACTTTCTGGTTTTTCTTTGAAGATCTTTTGCTTCTCATCCAAGCAGCTTCTTCAGCTCTGACTGGATGAGGGTCTACAACAGGGTCCCTTCAGCAGTTCCAAGAAGGCTCCGCACCCATTCGCACAACTCGGGTGACCCTGAGGACCCCGATAAACCTGCCTCAAGGCCTCTCTCAAAGGATGCAAGTGACCGGCTGTCTGCAAGGAGTATGAATCCTTCCATTCCCCATCCTCCACTTAGAGCTGAAGAAGCATCTTGGATAAGAATCAAAAGGTCTTCAAAGAAAAAAATAGAGTCCAGTTACCTCTTGAAAAAACACCTTTGACAGTCCTCGCTCTCTCTCTGTCTGTGTTTGTGGGCAGCGACTTCACCCAAGGTGCCAGCAGGGGGCGCTCGCTTGGCTGCCGACTGACCAGGCCACTGCGCATGCTCCACCGGCTGAGTCTTCTCTATGTTCCGGCTGAGAGTTGCTCCCTGGGAATCCGGTGGAAGCGGGCAAGAGGAGATCCCACGATTCAGATCCTGCCCAGGGGAGGGAAGGAGAGTCTGAGGTCGGAGGGAGCGGGAAGTCCGCCCCATAAATGCTCTTGGCTGTGCATGGGGGGAGATCCACGAATTGGGGAGGGGGGAGGAGAGAAGGAAGCCTAAAGGAACCCCCTGCTCACATCTCCATTTAGATTCAGATTCAGATTCCGAGGCTGGAGGATCTTTGGAGAGCCAGCGGAGACTAGCTGCCCGGTGCTGTAAGGATTTGATTTAAAAATCATTGTTCAGTTTATCAGATTATAGTAATCAATACCGTATTTTCTATTTCTCAAGATTTCAAATGTACTTTAGTGTCTCTATTTTATTTTGTGATATCAAGTTGATCAGAAAGAACAATCAGGCTTGCCATATTAGGGGATCGTAGCATTGATATGATTTCAGAGAAAACTGTTAGGAGCATGATTTCTGCTTTTTATCTTAATATAACCTTTTAAAAAACATATTTCCTGATTAACCTCCTTTCTCAATTTGAAAGGTTAATAAATTATTCGAAACAGTTGCGCAATGTAAATGATGCCGTACTTTATATACATTGAACTCAAAATGAAGAAACAGATAAATATGTAGACGGAGGGGGGAGCGTGGCATAAAATGTTAGAAAGTACTAGAAGGGGGTGGAATGAGTTCACATCTGACTCAGTTTCACATTGTACAATGATGCCTTGAAAACCATGCATGGGAAAACATTAGTACGGTAGATTTTTCTACGAAAGAAGCAAACAATTAAAAGGTGGAAACATTTCTCCTGAAAAAATCCTGGCATTTTCATAATATTTATTTATTTATTGGTTCGATTTATATGCCACCCTTTTCTAGAGACTCAGGGCAGCTTACAATGTGTTAAGCAATAGCCTTCATATTTTTGTATATATCTGCTTAGTAGGGCTTTCGTCCCCCCCCAAGCAGTGTTCTTTTTTATACAAAGTCAGCTTATTGCCCCCACAAACCGGGTCCTCATTTTACCTACCTCAAAAGGATGGAAGGCTGAGTCAACCTTGAGCCTGGTGAGATTTGCAGTAATTGCAGGCAGCTGGTGTTACTTAACAGTGCTTTATTCTACTGCACCACCAATTCCTAATTATGTAATTGTACACCTATGGAGATAATCCATGGGACATTAAATTTAAGCCTTTTGCCTCTTTCTACAACTTGGAATATATTTTTGGCCTTTAAGTGTTTGCACTCTGAGTCATAGTGGGGACATCCAGGCAATGTCTACATTTACCTGAGGACCCCAATCTCCCCCTTCCCCCCGTGGCTCTTCCCTCAGAGCAGTGGTGGGTTGCTACCGGTTCTCCCCGGTTCTTGCAAATCGGTAGCGGAAATTTTGAGTAATTCGGAGAACCGGTAAATTCCACCTCTGCCTGGCCCTGCCCCCAATCTCTTCGCTGCCTCCCGAGTCCCAGCTGATCGGCTAGAAGGAATAAATCAGGGCTCACTTGACAAAGAAGAGGAAAAAAAACCAAGACACCTTAGCTTTAAATTCAGAAGCCTTCCAACTGATTGCCTAGATCCGATCCACTCCTGGTGGTAGATTGGCAATTGAGGCCAAGCTGCCTGAAAGCGGTTTCCGATGCTCTCGATGGTGGCAGAGCGGCAAAAAACTGTTTAAACTATTGCTGCGGCGTTTCACCCTATAGCTGATCAGCGGTAAAAGGCAGTGTGGTGGTAGACCAGTGCGCTCTAAAAACAAATGGGTAGACCGGTGCGGTTCTGCAAGCAGTTAAAAGCCTGTTAGACCAATACTTCTGCTCAATCCTTAAGAATTGTTTGTCACATGATTATCAAACCACACCCACAAAATAAGCCACACCCACAGAACCGGTAGTAAAAACTTTTAGAACCCACCCCTGCCTCAGAACAGATGTCTCTCTCCGCTCTTCCTGCCAAAATAGGCTCCTCCCACTCATCTGGGACACAAGGAGTCACTGGAAAAGAGCCTAATGCTGGGAACCCCTTTGCTTCCAGGGCTCCAGGCCTATGTCCCCAGCAGCAGAAGTAACAACTGGAGCCCATGGAAGCTTCCCCACGTCCCCTCCCCAAGAGAGGGGAGAAGTGGAATTGGGAGGGGAGGGCCTGGACAGGGATACTTTGGAGTTGGTTTGTCAGGAATCAGTTTCCGCCAATGGGAAGCCTTCCTTCTCTTGAGTCATCTGTCTCTGGACAGAATCTGGTGGTTTCTCCCTGCCGAGAAAGCCTTTGAAGCAGAAAAGGGAAGGGAGAGGGGCTACGCAGATTGCGTGCAGCGCAACGCAACTGGGGGGTACCCAAGAGGACCCAGGTGGGCCCTGAGCAAAGCAATCTCTCGGAGAGGCAAGGATTGCTGAGATGGGGAAATCCCAGGCTACAAGCCGATGAGGCCCCAAATCTAGAGATCTCCTCCAGCCACGGCTCACTTGTTTTTCCCACGACCCCCGTGACACGTGTCTCTAGCCTTCCAGTGTAGGACTCACTCTGGCTTTCCAGAGGCCTTTCTGTATGGCCCGTTTCCTTGACCTCCCGGGAAGTCTGACAGCTGAGAAGCATCAGGTGATGAGGATGGTTTTCCCATCCATCTCTGTCTTCCAGGGTCATGGCCTCATTTTCCCCTCCTCGCTTTTCTCACCATCCTTAATGACATAATTCGGAATTACATGAATACTGAAGCTCGGTGATCGAGGTCTGAGTCTGCATTCCCATTTCTTGGAGAAATCTCCGTGTTTTTCCTGGGATTTATTTACACAAAGGTGAAACATCTGGATGAAATGTATTGCTGCGGGGAGCCTTTTGTGGGAAGTTTGGAGGATGGAAACCAGGATTGCCCCTCCTGGCTCCCTCATCCCTTCCGGAAGGTGAAGGAGGAGAAAACTCAGAGGCAACTCTGGTCACAACTTTATGCCCTTTGGAATGAATTGCCCCCGGATATTCGTAACATCTCTGACCTCCGGGTCTTTTGCTGTGCCCTCAAGACCCTAGTGTTCCGACAGGCGGGGCTGTCTAATTGAATGTTTTTAAATTGGGTTTTAATTTTGGGTTTTAACATTCGGCCAAAATTATTTAATGATTTTAATTAATTTTAACTATGATATTGTATATTTGTATTTTAATTCTGGCTCTACACCACCCCGAGTCCTTAGGGAGAAGGGCAGTATATAAATAAAATTATTATTATTATTATTATTATTATTATTATTATTATTATTATTATTATTATTATTATTATTATTATTATTATTATTATTATTATTATTATTATGTCTAGAAAACTGGGAGTCAATGGAAGGCGTCAGGCTCAAAACATCAAAAGCAGCAGAATGTGTCATGGTCTGCCAGATTTTGGGGGGGGGGAATCTCAAGACCACCCCCGTCTCTCAGTCCCCACTTGCTCCAGAAAGGCTCCTTAGCATGCTAAAAGGTGTCTATGGAGATTCTCAGTCCTCCAGGCTGTGGTTGTCCCAAGGAGCTTTCCAAGAGGCAACTGGACTGTCTGGTTTTTCTTTGAAGATGTTTCGCTTCTCATCCAAGCAGCTTCTTCAGCTCTGACTGGATGAGGGTCTACAACAGGGTCCCTTCAGCAGTTCCAAGAAGGCTCCGCACCCATTCGCACAATTCGGGTGACCCTGAGGACCCCGATAAACCTGCAAGTGGCCGCAAGGACTCTCTCAAAGGATGCAAGTGACCGGCAGGCTGCAAGGAGTATGAATCCTTCCATTCCCCACTATCCTGTCAGCTGAAGAAGCTGCTTGGATGAGAAGCAAAACGTCTTCAGAGAAAAAAATAAAGTCCAATTATCTCTAGATCTAGAAAAAGCACCTTTGACACTCCTGGCTCTCTCTCTGTGTCTCTGTATGGGCAGCGACTTCACCTCAGGTGGCAGCAGGGGGCGCTCTCTTAGCTGCTGACTGACGAGGCCACTGCGCATGCTCCACTCCGGCTGAGTCTTCTCTGTTCCGGCTGAGAGTTGCTCCCTGGGAATCCGGTGGAAGCGGGCAAGAGGGGATCCCGCGACTCAGATCCTGCTCAGAGGCGGGAAGGAGATTCTGAGGTTGGAGGGAGCGGGAAGTCCGCCCCATAAATGCTCTTGGCTGCGCATGGGGGGAGATCCACGAATTGGGGAGGGGGGAGGAGAGAAGGAAGCCTAAAGGAACCCTCTGCTCACATCTCCATTTAGATTCAGATCCCGAGGCTGGGAGGATCCTTGGAGAGCCAGCGGAGACCAGATACTGGCATTGCCAGTGGCTGGAAGATCCGTGCTGAGCCTGTCAAAGGTGAGGAGAAGCAGGAAGAGCTGCAGGTCAGAGAAGCTTCTTTTGTGGAATCTGAAGGGATCTTCACCTGCTTGAATTCCTTCATTTCTCCCTGAAATCTCCTATTGGGTCTCATCCATCGCCACTGATGGACAGAAGGGTTTTGTGGGCAGAAAATAAAATGCAGCTCCTCTTTTGTCCTGTCCTCTTAACTGCTCTTCTTTGCTTATATTTCAGGTTCTGAGGTTCTCCCAGGAATGGGGAGGAATTCGCTGGATCCGCACAAATCTTTCTCCTGATCTGTCTTTCAGAGGGATCCCCAAGGATAAAAGTCCAGATCAGGATACCTCTCTAGGTAAGGGGAGACTGTTCCACTGGGTTGGAGACTTTCTAGAAAGAGTCTAGTTATCCTTAATTCTGGGTGTCTTGTCGTGTCTTAGTCATTGGACTTAGTAGAAGTTGACCCAATAAGAAAGATCGAACTCTCTCTTCAAGCTAGAAGACTTAAGGCGCACAAAGGAATTCCCTCCCTTCAGAGCTAAGGCTATGGTTGGTCTTTCCCAGAAGACATACTCTTGTAGGGGCCACCTTGAGTTGCATGCTGTCTCCTCCTCCATCCTGAGAGATTTCTCTTTGCTTTTTGCTTTCCTTAAAGAGATAATTTTGACTAAATTCCTTCACGGATCTCTGCTGGGCCATTTCCAACACCACCTGTCCTTGCAGGCATGTTTCCTGGGTTGCTGGAATATCACTAATTTATCTGGTTTCAAACTGCAGAGAGTGGGGGGGGGGAATTTACAGTGATTGAGCAAATGCTTTGTTTGCCAACAGTATAAACGTCCATGTGTTGTTCCAAAAGGTTAGGACAACAATCTAACTGAGGTTTGTTCTTCAGCATGTGATGGGTTTGGTCTTCTCCTTTCATTCTTAGCTCCCATGATGGAGCCTATGAAAGGCAGAGTGTAGAAGAGAGAGAAATGGAGGTTTCCTGGGCAGGACAGGAAGAAATCTTAATTTGTGCCTTCAAGGTAGAAAAGATGAAGTTGAACCCTTTCCTGTTTCCATCCTGTCTCTCTCCTTCCCAGTGGACAAAATGGAGTCGCGGTTCTTCATTGAATCTCCTTCTATTGGTGGAGCTGAAGGAGCCGCTGGATTCCTGACTCAGGTAGGAAGGAAGAGATTAGCAATTTATAGGGGGGAGGAGTAGGAGACCTCTGGTTTCCTTTGAGGACTCAACATATGATACTGCTATTCCTGAGCAAAGCACAACAAGGAAATTAGAAATTTACATTTATGATCAATCAAACTAGGCCCACCTCTCAACAAAGTTTGAAAAAGTGGTTGTATAATTCTGGTTTCAAAAAATGCCATAGGGCACTTCATGTTGCCTGTCCAGAAAGGAGACATGAATAGTTAGGCTAAATCTACTTTATTATAAGTGTAATCTTGTTTTCCTATCATTGGGGAAAGGGATGGAAACAGGAGAAGCAGAAATTCCTTTGTGTATCATCTACATCTTGATGCCTGGAAGTGCCTCCCTAGTATTTTCGTGAATGTTTGTGAATGTTTTTTTTTTCCAATTTAACTTTTTTATTAGTTTATCAAAGTATAAAATACAAATAAAAAAACATGGAAAAGTAAGAAGAGAGGAAAGGGAAAAGAAGGGGTATCGTGTAATGGGAGAAAAAAAAGAGAAAGCCATCAACTTTCGACATTGCAACCATAACATTTTGCTTTTACAAAACATAATGTACACATTATTTCTATAACAATAAACCTGCCTAGTTTACAAAAAGAGAATCAAAGTTTTATTTTTTTTCTCATTGCAAACAGACAATCGGAAGCAATTTCAAGCTAGAGACCAGATTAAATATAATCTCTTATTTGGAGAAAAGAATCATTTTAACCATCTCAGATTCTCCTTGCTGTGGGGAATAATATAGCATTCATTCTCATATTTTCAAATCTAGTCCATAATATTTTACCAACTTTAGAATATTGTTCAGCATTATTTAAAGAACCGGCAGACCTGTGTATACATATATACGTTTTAAAAACACAAATAATTTAAAGCTTTCTAACAGTACATAAATCAATTTTTTAAAAAGAAATCCATCCTAATTAATTAAACCATATTTAAGTCACTCCCTCCAGTTTATCTTCATTGAATAGAGTCTTTTTCTTCTGTCTCCTTTCCTAAAGAAATTCTCGGCTTTATTTATATCCCTTAAAAAAAGTCCCAAAGTTGTTCTGTGAGATGTTGTAAATTGGTCTGAAGCAAATCTTTCCCGATTAAATTTTCCCTCACTGAAATAGCTATGATATCTTTTTTTTCTTGAAGAATTCTCAGCCTTGTTAATGTCCATAATGGGAAAGTCCCAAGCTTGACTTCTTAAAAGTTGTGAATCTACTTGATACACTTGTTTCAGTTGCACTGGGAAGATTGAACTCACACCATCATCATAAGAAGAGCTGAAGTCAGATTTATATTCTTTTTTTTAACAGTTTATATATTTTCATGTTACATACATAAGTGCTTACTGAACAGCATATTGTCTGGATCAAATTTTATACAAGAATGCTTTTCCCACTCCTAATTTCTACCTCTGCTATGCAACCAATTATAAAACAAGTTCATGTCCAACGATATTCTGTATCTTTTTCTTTTATGTTTAGTGTCAGTCCATCCATTTCTGCACAATCTAAATTTTGTTTTAAATACATCATCCTTTGTAGGAGTTTCCTCATTTTTCCAGTACTGTGCAAATACAATTCTTGCTGCTGTCAAGACATGTAATATTAAATATAAGTTCTTTTTGTTATACTTTTCAGGTATTATGCCTAGCAAAAATATTTCTGGCTTAAAATCTATGTCTTGTTTTAACATTTTCTCCAACCATGTATGTATTTTTGTCCAATATTTCTTTGCTTTTACATATGTCCACCAGATATGATAATATGTCCCTGGTGTCCAACATCTGGCGGACATGCTTTTAAACATCTTTGCTAATCTTGCCGGTGGTAGATGCCACCTATAAAACATTTTTTATAAATGCTCCTTATATGTAGTTGCCATTGTCAACTTACAATTTCTTTCCCAAAGCTTTTGCCGTTTGTCTAAATCTATAGCAGCCAAAGTTTTTTGCCCATACTGTCATTGTCATTGTATATTTTCTTTATCAACTTTTCATCTACTGCTAACGTTATTTGGTCAAATATTGTAGGCTCTTTATAGAAGTCATAATCCTTAATACCTTTCTCATATCTCGATTTTATTTCCATATGCGGCCACCATGATACGTCCACACCTTGATTCTGTAACTCTTGTTTGGTTTAAGTTCCCCTTCCGCATTTTAAATATTTTGATATGTTAAATTTTTTTCCAGATTTACTACATTTGGATGTAGAAATGCTTCCATTGTTGAGAGCCAAACTGGAATTTTAATGTAAATTTTCGGTTTCACCTTTTCCCATACTGAAAGTTGAGCATTTCTTATACAGTGTCCTTGAAAGTATTGATGAGTTTTGTTTTTGTTATACCATATAAAAAAGCATGCCATCCTAATATGAGATCATGGCCTTCTAAAAGCAGCAATCTGTTATGTCGAAGAGTTATCCATTGTGGGTTAGACAGCATCACCCCCAGATGGATTCCTAACTGGCTGACCAACCACACTCAACCTGTAGCCCTCAGTGGAACTGCATCTACATGGAGGGAAGTATGCAGTGGAGTACCCAAAGGCTCTGTTTTAGGCCCAGTACTCTCCAGCATCTTCATCAATGATTTGGACGAGAGGATAGATGGGGAATTCATCAAATTTGCAGATGACACCAAACTGGCAGGAATAGCCAACACTGGAGAAGATAGGCTCAAGATACAAGGCCCTTGATAGACTTGAACATTGAGCACTATCTAACAAAATGAAATTTTTTTTTTATACAAAGTTTATTTTCATTTTTAAAAATACAACACTTTACATATATACATATAAGGTTATTGCAACTAACGTACACAAATCTGCGCTTATACCACTAATACAATCCCTCTCTTTTCTTTCACCCAAGTATACCATAAATTCCAACATTTGTAATAATCAGAATCTTTTTGGTTCCTAAGTAATTTCGTTAACTGGTCTGCCTCTGCGCATTCTGTAATTTTCCAAATCAATTTATTTTCTGTGGGTATTAATTCATTTTTCCATTCTTGCGCGTATAGTATCCTAGCTGCAGTAGTGATGTGGAGGATCAAGTACCATTTTTCCTTAGTTATTTTGTCTGGTTTCATTGCTAATAAAAAAAAATCTCTGATTTCAGCTCTATAGTATATCCTGTAATTTCCACTATCCAGTTCCGAACCTTGGATCAATATTTGCTTGTTTTGGGACACGTCCACCATGGGTGGTAGTACGTCCCACAACCATTCTCACACTTCCAGCATGCCGGAGAAACTCCCGGGAACAAAATAAAATTCAATGGTGAAAAAAGTAAGGTTCTACATTTAGACAAGAAAAACAAAATGCACAGGTACACTATACTAATAGTAGTAGTAGTACACTACTAGTAGTAACTGTGAGAGGGATCTTGGAGTCCTAGTGGACAACCATTTAAATATGAGCCAGCCATGTGTAGCAGCTGCCAAAAAACCCAACACAGTTCTGGGCTACATAAACAGAGGGATAGAATCAACATCACATGAAGTGTTAATACCACTTTATAATGCCTTGGTAAGGCCACACTTGGAATCCTGCATTCAGTTTTGGTCGCCACAATGTAAAAAAGATGTTTAGACTGTAGAAAGAGTGCAGAGAAGAGCAACAGTTGATTAGGGGACTGGAGGCTAAAACATATGAAGAACAGTGGGTATGTCTAGTTTAATGAAAAGAAGGATTGGGGGAGACATGATAGCAGTCTTCCAATATTTCAGGGGTTGCCATAAAAAGGGAGGACTCAAACTATTCTCCAAAGCACCTGAGGGTAGAAGAAGAAGCAATGGGTGGACACTAATCAAAGAGAGAAGCAATTTGGAACTAAGGAGAAATTTCCTGACAGTTAGAACAATTAATCAGTGGAACAACTTTCCTCCAGAAGTTGTTAATTCTCCAACACTGGAATTTTTAAAGAAGATGTTGATTAACCATTTGTCTGAAGTGGTTTAGTTTTCTGCCTAAGCAGGGGGTTGGACTAGAAGACCTCCAAGGTCCCTCCCAAATATTCTATTCTATTCTATTCTATTCTATTCTATTCTATTCTATTCTATTCTATTCTATTCTATTCTATTCCCTCACCCATGTTAATACAGCTGCATGGTTATAGCCACAAAACCTAGGTAGACGTGGCTGGAGGTGGTGGTCATGTGATTAGGTGGGAGTGCGTGATGTCGTGTTGGCCATGCCAACTCAGGTTTTGTGGCTCCTGCTGTTTTCTGTGGGAAACTGATCCAAATGGCTTCAGGTTGAAGAGCCTTGGTCCAGGGTGAGGAGATTCTCTGGGCATGACACCTGCTGGCCATGTCATCCTGTCTTTTTCCTTCCTCTCTTCTTCCTTTCCCTGATTTTTTTTGTTTGTATTTTATACTTCGATAAACTAATAAAAAAGTTAAATTGAAATTTTCATGCGTGTGAGCAAAGCTGCCCCGTTAAAGAATCACAAAGACCATTTGGTTACGATGTCAGACAGAAATCCCACATAACCTCTTGCAAACATGATGAAATATTGGGGCCACTGGTAGATGGTTTATCTAAGGCACTCTATGCCCCTTGATCAAGGCAAGTTGATATTGAAAGTCAGCAGACTCAGTCAAGGTGATAAAACATGAACTAATTGAATGTCAGCAGTAGGCTGTGGATTCGGCCCTTTTTATCATATCATGTGATGGGTCCACCTAGGGAAACCTCCCATCAAGGTTTTTTACTTTGGATTTTAATCCCAAAGGTGCTTTTTTCAAGAGGCAACTGGACTTCCTGGTTTGTCTTTGAAGACGTTTCGCTTCTCATCCAAGAAGCTGAAGAAACTCCTGAAGCACCTTTTGGGACAAACATGACCATGAATGATTGAGAATCTCCATAGACATTTGTGCTTTTAGGATTTGCAGATTGAAGGAGATCATGCAAATTTTATCGAGTCTGCTCACAGGCATTCTTCCTTCTTTAGGGTGCTGTGTCCTTTCGGGAGGTGGCCATCCATTTCAACAGTGAAGAGTGGTTGCTGCTTGATTCCAGCCAGAAAGCCCTGTATCAAGAAGTCATGTTGGAAACGTCTAGGATGGTGGCCTCTTTAGGTAAAGGTTCCTCTGGAGAAAAATTTAAGTCAGCGCAAGGTGTCACTAGATTCTTTATTTACCACTTAGATCTATATGTAACTTTTTAAAAATGATTTCATCTCTTATTTTTTCCTCTTACATTAATTCCAATCCCCCTTCATGGTCTTCTAAGTAGCACAGTTTCACTTAGAAGAAAGAGATCAGTGTGGTGATCAGGAAGTGTTGACATTCAGTCTTGTGGTCATCCTTGGGCCCTGGTCATTACGCCACAGTGATTGGGAAGATGTTCAGGGAGAGGATGCTGAGTTTTCCTACACAGCAACAAATTTTGTCTTGCTTTGTGTTGCAATGACATATGTTGTCTTCTTGAATGCAAGTTGGGTGCGTCATATTTGAGACAATTTGTGTGCCTCGTCCTGATATCAAGACGTGTTTTTGCTTTAAATTTTTAACGGCCAAGAATGAGGGTTAGATGAGCAGCCATACTAATCTTTTAAGTTAATAAGTAATATGCATGCAGTCATTTCCCTCATTCCTTTCTCCGGAGATGCCCAATAATAAGATAAATCTATGCATAGGGACACCAAAGTGGAAGTTGTAGATTATTCTAATTTATTTTTCTTTCCCTGCAAGCATTTGAGGCGCAGAAGAAAGAAAATGACCAAGAGCCAAATTTAGGGCCGTTGCAAATAATCACAACTGAAATTGCTGAAGAGACATCTACAAGTAAGCAGGGAAGGAAGAAACATAAAAAGAAGCACAAGTGGAGAGAAAAATCTATTCTTGAATCTGTGGAAATGGATTGTTTCCTGACCCAACGTGATTCCAAACAAAATACGGGGAAATGTCAAAGTGGAAAAAGATTCAAAGCAAACTTCAATGCTAGTAATCACTGCAAATCGGGAAAAAGCTCCAGCAGTAATAATCTTACTTCACATGAAAAAAACGAGACAAGGGCGAAGCCCTACAATGGTATGGACTGTGGAAAAAGCATTGGGAGAAGAGGTAATTTAACTTGTCATAAAAAGATCCATAAATGTGTGGATTGTGGAAAGAGCTTCAGTGTAAAGAGTGCTCTTACTTCTCATAGACGGATCCACACAGGAGAAAAACCCTATCAGTGCCTAGACTGTGGGAAGGGCTTCAGGCAAAGTTGTGACCTTGCTTGCCATAAACGGGCCCACACAGGAGAAAAACCCTATAAATGCATGGAGTGTGGAAACAGCTATAATACCAGCAGTGGACTAAATCGCCATAAAATTGTCCACACGGGAGAGAAACCCTATACATGCATGGAGTGTGGAACGAGCTTCACTTGCAAGACTTCTCTTACTTCTCACGAAAGGATCCACACAGGAGAGAAACACTATAAGTGTATGGAGTGTGGAAAGAGCTTCAGGGCAAGAAGTTCCCTTGCTTCACATAAACTGGTCCATACAGGAGAGAAACCCTATAAACGCATACAGTGTGGGAAGAGCTTCAGTGTAAAGAGTTCTCTTACTTCTCATAAATGGGTCCACACAGGAGAAAAACCCTTTAAATGCAGAGAGTGTGGGAAGAGCTTCACAACTAGTAATTCCCTGATATGCCACAGAAGGATCCATACACGGAGAAAACCTTACAAATGTGTGGATTGTGAACAAAGGTTCAGTAGGAAGTATTCCCTTATTTCCCATAAAAGGGTACATACTGGAGAAAAACCCTATAAATGCCTAGACTGTGGGAAAGGCTTCAGCCAAAGCGGTACCCTTGCTTCTCATAAACTAGTCCACACAGGAGAAAAACCCTATACATGCATGGAGTGTGGAAGGAGCTTCAGTGTAAAGAGTGCTCTTACTTCTCATGAACGGGTCCACACAGGAGAAAAACCCTTTACATGCATGGAGTGTGGAAAGAGCTTCAGGCAAAGCAGTTCTCTTAATTGTCATACACTGATCCACACAGGAGAAAAACCCTATAAATGCCTAGACTGTGGGAAGGGCTTCAGGCAAAGCGGTAGACTTATTTCCCATAAACGGCTCCACACAGGAGAGAAACCGTATATATGCATGGAGTGTGGAAAAAGCTTCACTGTGAAGACTACTCTTACTTCTCACCAAAGGATCCACACAGGCGAGAAACCCTATAAATGTATGGAGTGTGGAAAGAGCTTCAGTGTAAAGAGTGCTCTTACTTCTCATAAACGGGTCCACACAGGAGAAAAACCCTTTAAATGCATGGGGTGTGGAAAAAGCTTCAGGCGAAGCAATTCTCTTAATCGTCATACACTAATCCACACAGGAGAAAAACCCTATAAATGCCTAGACTGTGGGAAGAGCTTCAGGCAAGGCGGTAGCCTTATTTCCCATAAACGACTCCACACAGGAGAGAAACCCTATACATGCCTGGAGTGTGGAAAAAGCTTCACTGTCAAGACTACTCTTACTTCTCACGAACGGCTCCACACAGGAGAGAAACCCTATACATGCCTGGAGTGTGGAAAGAGCTTCAGTGTAAAGAGTGCTCTTACATCTCATAAACGGATCCACACAGGCGAAAAACCCTTTAAATGCAAACAGTGTGGGAAGAGCTTCACAACTAATAATTCCCTGATACGCCACAGAAGGATCCATACAGGGAGAAAACCTTAGAAATGTGTGTATTGTGGAAAAAGGTTCAGTAGGAAGTTACTTACTTACTTCACATAAAAGGATACATACTGGAGAAAAACCCTTTAAATGCATAGAATGTGGGAAGAGCTTCAAAAGTAGTACTTACCTGATGTGCCACAAAAGCAATAGCCTTATTTCCCATAAACGGGTCCACACAGGAGAAAAACCCTTTACATGCATGGAGTGTGGAAAGAGCTTCAGTGTAAAGAGTGCTGTTACTTCTCATAGAAATGTGGAAACAGCTATAATACCAGAAGTGGACTAAATCGCCATAAACGTGTCCACATGGGAGAGAAACCCTATACATTCATGGAGTGTAGAAAGAGCAAGACTTCTCTTATTTCTCATGAGAGCATCCATACAGGAGAAAAACCTTAAGAGAATCCACAACAGAGGGAAATAGAAATGTACGGAATGCGGAAGGAGTTTTTGTGAAAGAGAATCCTTCTCAGGAAAGAATGCACAGTGGGCAGGGAAATATCCTGTGGACAGCAATCAACTTATTTCCCTTACGGATAAACAGAAAAATGAATTGACAAAGAAGTTAGATTTTCAGGTAGTCAACAAAGTTAAATATTTGGGAGTATACTTAACAGGAAGATGTGAAACAATTAAAGAAGGTAACTATAAAAGATTAATACAACAAATGTGGCATTTGCCACCAGGAAGAATAGCCAAGATGTTTAAAAACCTGTCAGCCAAATGTTGGAAATGTAATCAGGAAATGTAAACCGGGCTCTTATTACCATAAGTGGTGAACATGCCGAAAGGCAAAAAAAAAATTGGATGAAAATACACACATAAAACACACATAATTAGAGTTAAATACATAGTTAAAGCAACATATAGTTAACACATAGTTAAAGCAAGATAGACATTTAAAGTCAGAAATAATTTTGTTAGGTATAATATCAGAAAAATATGACAAAGGGAACAACTATTTAATACTACATATATTGACAGAAGTGAGAATTGAATTTGCACAACACTGGAAGAATGAGGAAACTCCTACAGACCAAAATATAATTAGAAAAATACTAGATTGTACAGAAATGGATAGGTTTACATTAAAGATAAAGGACAAAGAAGACACAATGTTTTTTAACATGGGATTTGTGTTATCAATGGTTAGACAGTAGAGGTAGAAATTAGAAATTAGCCAAAGGGAGCTGCGCCAAGCCGGCCACACACCTAGCCATGACTAGTTGGTCGAGGCCTCCCACCTTCTACCAGCCACACCCTCCTTCCATCCCAGCCACTGAAAATCTCTCCCAAATACAGGCAGAGGCATAGAATCAAAATCTGCTGAAGTATTAGTATCGTTTTAGTAAGTCTTTAGTAAGTCCATACCTGGAATACTGCAACTAATTTTGGTCACAGGTGTTGACACTTTGGAAAAAGTTTGGAGAAGAACAACTAAGGTGACCAAAGGCCTGGGGACTAAAACATATGAAGAATGGTTGCAGGATTTGGGTATGACTAGTCAGTCTAGATTTCAACCTAGAAATAGGGAGAAATTTTCTAACAGTGGGAACAATTAACCAGTGCAACAGCTTGTCTTCAGAAATTGTGGATGCTTCATCACTGGAGGTTTTTAAGAAGACACTGAACAATGATTTGTTTGAAACAGTATAGGGCAGTGTTGGCGAACCTTTTCGGCAACCAATGCCGAAACCAGAATGCTTGCTTTTCCACATGTGCATGCCAGAAACCAGAAGAGCAGGTGGTCTTCACGCATGTAGGAGCGCCCGAAACTGGAAGAGCAGCTACCTGATGCGTGTGCGAAGAGAGAGCACTTTGTGTACTCTACTACGCGTGCCATAGGTTCGCCGTCAGTATTGGGTGTCCTGCTTGAGCAGGGGGCTGGTCTAGAAGACCTCCAAGGTCCCTTCCACCTCCGTTCCGTTCTATTCTCCCAACTGAAAGGGACTTTAAAAATGGTTTTATTGATCCAACACTATACCATATAACCAATATTTTTTTAAAAAAATGACTTAAATTTCTTGATTTAAAATCATTGTTCAGTTTATCAGATTATAGTAATCAATACCGTATTTTCTATTTCTCAAGATTTCAAATGTACTTTAGTGTCTCTATTTTATTTTGTGATATCAAGTTGATCAGAAAGAACAATCAGGCTTGCCATATTAGGGGATCGTAGCATTGATATGATTTCAGAGAAAACTGTTAGGAGCATGATTTCTGCTTTTTATCTTAATATAACCTTTTAAAAAACATATTTCCTGATTAACCTCCTTTCTCAATTTGAAAGATTAATAAATTATTCGAAACAGTTGCGCAATGTAAATGATGCTGTACTTTATATACATTGAACAGCGAAATGAAGAAACAGATAAATATGTAGACGGAGGGGGGAGCGTGGCATAAAATGTTAGTAAGTACTAGAAGGGGGTGGAATGAGTTCACATCTGACTCAGTTTCACATTGTACAATGATGCCTTGAAAACCATGCATGGGAAAACATTAGTACGGTAGATTTTTCTACGAAAGAAGCAAACAATTAAAAGGTGGAAACATTTCTCCTGAAAAAATCCTGGCATTTTCATAATATTTATTTATTTATTGGTTCGATTTATATGCCACCCTTTTCTAGAGACTCAGGGCAGCTTACAATGTGTTAAGCAATAGCCTTCATATTTTTGTATATATCTGCTTAGTAGGGCTTTCGTCCCCCCCCAAGCAGTGTTCTTTTTTATACAAAGTCAGCTTATTGCCCCCACAAACCGGGTCCTCATTTTACCTACCTCAAAAGGATGGAAGGCTGAGTCAACCTTGAGCCTGGTGAGATTTGCAGTAATTGCAGGCAGCTGGTGTTACTTAACAGTGCTTTATTCTACTGCACCACCAATTCCTAATTATGTAATTGTACACCTATGGAGATAATCCATGGGACATTAAATTTAAGCCTTTTGCCTCTTTCTACAACTTGAAATATATTTTTGGCCTTTAAGTGTTTGCACTCTGAGTCATAGTGGGGACATCCAGGCAATGTCTACATTTACCTGAGGATCCCAATCTCCCCCCGTGGCTCTTCCCTCAGAGCAGTGGTGGGTTGCTACCGGTTCTCCCCGGTTCTTGCAAATCGGTAGTGGAAATTTTGAGAAATTTGGAGAACCAGTAAATACCACCTCTGCCTGGCCCTGCCCCCAATCTCTTCGCTGCCTCCCGAGTCCCAGCTGATCGGCTAGAAGGAATAAATCAGGGCTCACTTGACAAAGAAGAGGAAAAAAAACCAAGACACCTTAGCTTTAAATTCAGAAGCCTTCCAACTGATTGCCTAGATCCGATCCACTCCTGGTGGTAGATTGGCAATTGAGGCCAAGCTGCCTGAAAGCGGGTTCCGATGCTCTCGATGGTGGCAGAGCGGCAAAAAACTGTTTAAACTATTGCTGCGGCGTTTCACCCTATAGCTGATCAGCGGTAAAAGGCAGTGTGGTGGTAGACCAGTGCGCTCTAAAAACAAATGGGTAGACCGGTGCGGTTCTGCAAGCAGTTAAAAGCCTGTTAGACCAATACTTCTGCTCAATCCTTAAGAATTGTTTGTCACATGATTATCAAACCACACCCACAAAATAAGCCACACCCACAGAACCGGTAGTAAAAACTTTTAGAACCCACCCCTGCCTCAGAACAGATGTCTCTCTCCGCTCTTCCTGCCAAAATAGGCTCCTCCCACTCATCTGGGACACAAGGAGTCACTGGAAAAGAGCCTAATGCTGGGAACCCCTTTGCTTCCAGGGCTCCAGGCCTATGTCCCCAGCAGCAGAAGTAACAACTGGAGCCCATGGAAGCTTCCCCACGTCCCCTCCCCAAGAGAGGGGAGAAGTGGAATTGGGAGGGGAGGGCCTGGACAGGGATACTTTGGAGTTGGTTTGTCAGGAATCAGTTTCCGCCAATGGGAAGCCTTCCTTCTCTTGAGTCATCTGTCTCTGGACAGAATCTGGTGGTTTCTCCCTGCCGAGAAAGCCTTTGAAGCAGAAAAGGGAAGGGAGAGGGGCTACGCAGATTGCGTGCAGCGCAACGCAACTGGGGGGTACCCAAGAGGACCCAGGTGGGCCCTGAGCAAAGCAATCTCTCAGAGAGGCAAGGATTGCTGAGATGGGGAAATCCCAGGCTACAAGCCGATGAGGCCCCAAATCTAGAGATCTCCTCCAGCCACGGCTCACTTGTTTTTCCCACGACCCCCGTGACACGTGTCTCTAGCCTTCCAGTGTAGGACTCACTCTGGCTTTCCAGAGGCCTTTCTGTATGGCCCGTTTCCTTGACCTCCCGGGGAGTCTGACAGCTGAGAAGCATCAGGTGATGAGGATGGTTTTCCCATCCATCTCTGTCTTCCAGGGTCATGGCCTCATTTTCCCCTCCTCGCTTTTCTCACCATCCTTAATGACATAATTCGGAATTACATGAATACTGAAGCTCGGTGATCGAGGTCTGAGTCTGCATTCCCATTTCTTGGAGAAATCTCCGTGTTTTTCCTGGGATTTATTTACACAAAGGTGAAACATCTGGATGAAATGTATTGCTGCGGGGAGCCTTTTGTGGGAAGTTTGGAGGATGGAAACCAGGATTGCCCCTCCTGGCTCCCTCATCCCTTCCGGAAGGTGAAGGAGGAGAAAACTCAGAGGCAACTCTGGTCACAACTTTATGCCCTTTGGAATGAATTGCCCCCGGATATTCGTAACATCTCTGACCTCCGGGTCTTTTGCTGTGCCCTCAAGACCCTAGTGTTCCGACAGGCGGGGCTGTCTAATTGAATGTTTTTAAATTGGGTTTTAATTTTGGGTTTTAACATTCGGCCAAAATTATTTAATGATTTTAATTAATTTTAACTATGATATTGTATATTTGTATTTTAATTCTGGCTCTACACCACCCCGAGTCCTTAGGGAGAAGGGCAGTATATAAATAAAATTATTATTATTATTATTATTATTATTATTATTATTATTATTATTATTATTATTATTATTATTATTATTATTATTATGTCTAGAAAACTGGGAGTCAATGGAAGGCGTCAGGCTCAAAACATCAAAAGCAGCAGAATGTGTCATGGTCTGCCAGATTTTGGGGGGGGGGAGTCTCAAGACCACCCCCGTCTCTCAGTCCCCACTTGCTCCAGAAAGGCTCCTTAGCATGCTAAAAGGTGTCTATGGAGATTCTCAGTCCTCCAGGCTGTGGTTGTCCCAAGGAGCTTTCCAAGAGGCAACTGGACTGTCTGGTTTTTCTTTGAAGATGTTTCGCTTCTCATCCAAGCAGCTTCTTCAGCTCTGACTGGATGAGGGTCTACAACAGGGTCCCTTCAGCAGTTCCAAGAAGGCTCCGCACCCATTCGCACAACTCGGGTGACCCTGAGGACCCCGATAAACCTGCAAGTGGCCTCAAGGCCTCTTTCAAAGGATGCAAGTGACCGGCAGGCTGCAAGGAGTATGAATCCTTCCATTCCCCACTATCCTGTCAGCTGAAGAAGCTGCTTGGATGAGAAGCAAAACGTCTTCAGAGAAAAAAAATAAAGTCCAATTATCTCTAGATCTAGAAAAAGCACCTTTGACACTCCTGGCTCTCTCTCTGTGTCTCTGTATGGGCAGCGACTTCACCCCAGGTGGCAGCAGGGGGCGCTCTCTTAGCTGCTGACTGACGAGGCCACTGCGCATGCTCCACTCCGGCTGAGTCTTCTCTGTTCCGGCTGAGAGTTGCTCCCTGGGAATCCGGTGGAAGCGGGCAAGAGGGGATCCCGCGACTCAGATCCTGCTCAGAGGCGGGAAGGAGATTCTGAGGTTGGAGGGAGCGGGAAGTCCGCCCCATAAGTGCTCTTGGCGGCGCATGGAGGGAGATCCACGAATTGGGGAGGGGGGAGGAGAGAAGGAAGCCTAAAGGAACCCTCTGCTCACATCTCCATTTAGATTCAGATCCCGAGGCTGGGAGGATCCTTGGAGAGCCAGCGGAGACCAGATACTGGCATTGCCAGTGGCTGGAAGATCCGTGCTGAGCCTGTCAAAGGTGAGGAGAAGCAGGAAGAGCTGCAGGTCAGAGAAGCTTCTTTTGTGGAATCTGAAGGGATCTTCACCTGCTTGAATTCCTTCATTTCTCCCTGAAATCTCCTATTGGGTCTCATCCATCGCCACTGATGGACAGAAGGGTTTTGTGGGCAGAAAATAAAATGCAGCTCTTCTTTTGTCCTGTCCTCTTAACTGCTCTTCTGTGCTTTCAGGTTCTGAGGTTCTCCCAGGAATGGGGAGGAATTCGCTGGATCCGCACAAATCTTTCTCCTGATCTGTCTTTCAGAGGGATCCCCAAGGATAAAAGTCAAGGTCAGGATACCTCTCTAGGTAAGGGGAGACTGTTCCACTGGGTTGGAGACTTTCTAGAAAGAGTCTAGTTATCCTTAATTCTGGGTGTCTTGTCGTGTCTTAGTCATTGGACTTAGTAGAAGTTGACCCAATAAGAAAGATCGAACTCTCTCTTCAAGCTAGAAGACTTAAGGCGCACAAAGAAATTCCCTCCCTTCAGAGCAAGGCTATGGTTGGTCTTTCCCAGAAGACATACTCTTGTAGGGGCCACCTTGAGTTGCATTCTGGCTCCTCCTCCATCCTGAGAGATTTCTCTTTATTTTTGGCTTTCCTTAAACAGATAATTTTGACTAAATTCCTACACGGATCCCTGCTGGGCCATTTCCAACACTGTCCTTGCAGGCATGTTTCCTGGTTCCTAGAATATCGCTAATTTCTCTGATTTCAAACTGCAGAGAGTGGGGGGGGGGGATTTACAGTGATTGAGCAAATGCTTTGTTTGCCAAGAATATAAACTTCCATGTGTTGTTCCAAAAGGTTAGGAGAACAATCTAACCGAGGTTTGTTCTTCAGGAAGTGGTGCGTTTGGTCTTCTCCTTTTATTCTTGGCTCCCATGATGGAGCCTATGAAAGGCAGAGTGTTGAAGAGAGAAAAATGGAGGTTTCCTGGGCAGGACAGGAAGAAATCTTAAATTGTGCCTTCAAGCTAGAAAAGATGAAGTTGAACCCTTTCCTGTCTCTCTCCTTCCCAGTGGACAAAATGGAGTCACCGTTGTTCATGGAATCATCTTCTTCTATTGGTGAAGCTGAAAGAGCCGCTGGATTCCTGACTCAGGTAGGAGGGAAGAGATTAGCACCTTATAGGGGGGAGGAGTAGGAGACCTCTAGTTTCCTTTGGGGACTCCACCTATGATACTGCTATTCCTGAGCAAAGCACAACAAGGAAATTAGAAATTTAAATTTACGATCAGTCAAACTAGGCCCATCTCTCAACTACATTTTCGAGTTCTATGGAATTCCTTAGTAGTTATATAATTCTGATTTCAAAAAATGCCACATGGCAGTTCATGTTACCTGTCCCAAGTAAAGCAGAAAAGGCACATGAATAGTTAGGCTAAATCTACTTTATTGTAAGTATAATTTTGCTTTCCTATCATTGGGGAAAGGGATGAAAACAGGAGAAGCAGAAATTGCTTTGTGTATCATCTACATCTTGAGGAAGTGCCACCCTACTATTTTCATGAATGTTTATGAGTGGGGTTTTTTCAGTTTAACTTTTTAATTAGTTTATTGAAATATAAAATACAAAGGAAAAGACATGGAAAAGTAAAAAGAGAGGAAGGGGAAAAGAGGGGGTATCGTGTAATGGGAGAAAAAAAAAGCCATAAACTTTCGACTCTCTTTGGCACAGTTGAAGGTAACAACATTACAACCACAACTTTTTGCTTTTACACAACATAATGTACACATTATTTCTTCTTTGGTAAGAAATATCAAATAATAAGTCTGTCTAGTTTACAAAAACAGAATCAAAGTTTCATTTTTTTTCTTCTCATTGCAAATAGAAAATCCAGAAGCAATTTGAAAGTAGCGACAAATTAAATATAATCTCTTATTTGGAGAAAAGAATCATTTTAACCATCTCAGCTTCTCCTTGCTGTGGGGAATCATATATCACTTATTCTCATATATTCAAATCTAGTCCATAATATTTTACCAACTTTGGAATATTCTTCAGCATTACTTAAAGGACCAGCAGACCTGTGTATACATACATACTTGTTTTAAAAATACAAAGCTAACTTAAAGCTTTCTAACAGTACATAAATCAATTTTTAAAAAAGAAATCCATCCTAATTAATTAAACCATATTTAAGTCACTCCCTCCAGTTTATCTTCATCGAATAGAGTCTTTTTCTTCTTGGGAAAATCTATCAAGTCTCCTTTCCTATAGAAGTTCTCAGCTTTATTTATATCCATTAAAAAAAGTCCCAAAGGTGTTCTGTTAGACGTAAATTGGTCTGAAGCAAATCTTCCTCAATTAAATTTTCCCTCACTGAAATAGTGATCGTGTCTTTTTTTCTTGAAGAATTCTCAGCCTTGTTAATGTCCATAAAGCGAAAGTCCCAAACTTGACCTCTTAGAAATTGTGAATCTACTTCATATAGTTGCGTGCGAAAATGAGATAACTGTGTGAGAAAGACATGACCCGCAACCGGCTGCTTTTTGCGATTCTGCGTCCTTCACAGACACCTCAACGCCAACCGCGGTCTCCTTTATGTTGGCTCAGGAAGGAGGGGAATGGGGAGGAGCAGCAGTCACCAGATGCAGGGGGGGAAGAGATCCACTGCGCTGCGCAGAACTCTTGCGCTACGCAGGACTTTCCTGTGCTGCGCAGCCAGCTACTCACCTCACTGCAGAGTGGAGTAGTCACCATCCCCGCCACTGCCGTGATTCCGGCCCAGGAGGGTATTTTGCTTGCACGCCCATGTGTGAGAAACAGATGTGAGGAAGAAAGAGAAATGAGAAAATGGAGAGAACAAGAGAGAGGAAAAAGAGAGAGAAACAGTTGAGAGAGAGAAAAGGGGGAAAGAGAGAAATGAAAGAAAGCTGGAGGGAGACAATGAGAGAGGGAAACGAGAGAAACAAATGAGGGAGAAGAGGGAGAGGAAGGAAGGAAGGAAGGGAGAAAGAAAAAAGAAAGAAAGAAAGAAAGAAAGAAAGAAAGAAAGAAAGAAAGAAAAAGAAAGAAAGCTCTCCCAACTTATGATGAAAGCAATGGCAAGATAGATATCTTGCCAAGAAAACTGCGGTTTGCCAGAAGGCACAAATTGGAAACAAAACTCTGATTTTTTTTTTTTTAGGAAATAACAGATGGCAAAAAAACACCTCTGAAAATAAGATTATTTATAATTTTGGATAATGTATTATATTGTCAAACTTAAAAGATATCAAAATATATGTGCTATTGCTGTCAGTACAGTCTTGCCAGCTTCTATCAATTTAGAGTTCACTATGAAAAGATTACAGAGAAGCAATTTCCCACAATTAATAACTTCCTTTTGGATTTGCTATCATGTTTAATGAGAAAGAAAGAAAAAGGAAGGAAGGAAGGAAGGAGAGGGAGAGGAAAAAGAGAGAAGCCGAAATGAGAGGGGTAAGGGAGAGAGAGAACCATTTCTCACAAAAAACACCAAGAGCCATGAAACCTGGGTAGGCAAGGCTGGGGTTGGGGGGAACATGTGACTGGGTGGGAATGACATTGAGTTGGCCACGCCCACCCAGGTTTTGTGGCTCCTGGTGTTTTCTGTGGGAAACAGGTCCAAATGACTCTTGAGTATTTAAGGTTGCAAACCCCTGGTCTAACAGTTATTCATTCCCTCACCCATGTTAATACAACTGCATGATAATAGAGCTCCCAATCTGGTAGTTCAAAGCCCCCATTGTTTTTGGACTCTTGCAACATTTTCAATCCTATTCTTATTTTTTTCCCTTGCCAGACATATTTCAAAATTATACTATTTAATTCATTAATGTATTTTTTCTTCTAGTTTTATTGGGACCGTTTGGAATGGGAAAAGTACCTTCGGCAAGATGTTCATTTTTATAGTTGCTATTCTGACTACCATTAATAGCTGCAAATTTTTCCATTTATCGAAATCTTTTTTAATTTGTAACAATCTTATATAATTATCTTCGTTGATTTTAACACATCTTGCTGTTAAGTATATTCCCAAGTATTTATCTTAACTGTCTGTAAATCTAATTTCTCTGTCAATTCTTTCTTCTGTTTTCTGTGAGATTTTTAAATAAGATTTTAGTTTTATCTTTGTTTATGTTCAATCCTGCGACTTTCCCATATTCTTCTATTATTCCCATTAATTTAGGGCCAGTTTCCAGTGGATCTTCTAAAATAAATACTAAGTCACCTGTGAATGCTTGTAATTTGTATTTTTCCCGTTTTATTTCCATACCTTTTATTTCTAAGTCTTGTCTAATATTTCTATTTAACACTTCCAATGTTAGTATAAATAGCAACGTGGACAATAGATATCCTTGTCTTGTACCCTTTCTTATATTAAAATTCTCTGTTAAGTCCCCATTGACTATTACTTTTGCCATTCACTTACAATATATTTCCTTAATCATTTTTATAAATTTCTCGCCAAAATCCATGTATTCCAATTGTTGCATCATAAATTGCCAATTTACATTGTCAAAGGCTTTCTATGCATCTAAAAATATCAGCGCCATTTGTTTTTCCGAGTACACTTCATAATATCCCAATGTATCTAGTATAAATCTTACATTTTTTTAATTTGTCTTTGGAAGGAACCCATTTTGATCTGGGTGGATAAATTTATTCAGAAATCTTTTTAATTTCTCTGCCATTATTAATGCAAAACTTTTATAATCATAAAATAAAATCATAAATAATGATATGGGATTATAATTCTTTATTTCTGTCAAGTCTGAGTCTTCTTTCGGAATTAAAGTAATATTAGCATCTATCCAGGTGTTTGGTAAAGTCAGATTTATATTCGGAGGTTACCATTAGTTGGTTTGCATTATCCGGTATTTGTAAAGTTGACACAGTAGGTTGATAATTGTCTACATTTTCTACACCTAGTTGTGTTTCTTGTTCTATTTTATATTTTGGTTGATTCACAAAATGACGAATCTTCTCAAAGGACTGATCAAGAATCTGCTTTATAATGACACCAGTTTAGAATTAGGTATCCTTGTGGCTCCCTGTACTGTTCAGAGACTGTTATTCATTTATTCTTCTTTTTTTTCTCAGCCAATCCAAAACCTCCCTGAGAATAAGCCCTGGTGCTTATTTTGGCAACCAAAAAATTATAAGACCTGGTCCTATTTTCGGGAAAACATAGTAGAAGATCAAAGCCAAAGCTTTTATCTTTATATTTCAAACAAAAGAATATTCCATGCTTCCTTATTTTGGCTGCCTCTAGCAATCCTCTCCCTGTTGTTTTATAATAAAGAACTGTCAAAAATAGCATTCAAAACATCAAAAATGGGTGGTAAACTGTAACTAAAGAGCACCTGTATAGCTTCTAAAGATAATAATCTCATAAATTGTTTAAGAAATGAAAGACACATCTTATTGTCCGTTTGAAAAATAAATGCCAAAATGGCTCTTTTGTCCAACAACGATGTAGTTTCGACCCCACTTTCCAGCTTCAGCTCACCCCACTTGGACCCCATTTCCCAGCTTCAGCTCAATTATCTTGGAAACTCGATTTCTAAAACTACTTGTAGGTGTTGCTGTTATTGGAGAATCTTGAGGGATGATTCTGGGACTTTCCTTAACCTCGGAAAGTCAAGCGGCCAAAAGGAAGCCTGCTCCTCCTGTTGTTAAGTTGGAAAAACGACAGTCCAGGGAGAAGTGATTCTTTGGGCGTGTCACCTGCTGGCCATGTCATGCCCTCTTTTTCCCTTTCTCTCTTACTTTTCAATGGTTTTTTTCCTTTGTATTTTATACTTTGAAAACAAAATTGTTAAACTGAAATATTCATGAGTGTGAGCAAGGCTGACCCTTTAAAGAATCACAAAGACCATTTCGTTACTGTGGGACAGAAATCCCACAGAACCTCTTGCAAACATCATGAAACGTTGGTGCCACTGGTAGACGGTTTGCCTAAGGCACTCTATGCCCCTTGCTCAAGGCAGGTTGATGATACTGAAGGTCAGCAGAGTCAGTCAAGGTGATAAAACATGGACTAATTGAATGTCAGGTGTAGGCTGTGAATTCTGCCCTTTTTATCATATAATATGTTGAGTCCATCTAGGGAAATGTCCAATAAATAATTTTTACTTTGGCTTTTAGTCCCAAAGGTGCTTTTTTCAAGAGGCAACTGGACTTTCTGATTGTTGAAGAAACTTCTTGGATGAGAAGCGAAATGCCTTCAAAGAAAAACCATAAAGTCCAGTTGCCTTTTGAAGAAAGCTCCTTTGGGACAACCATGACTATGGATAACTGAGAATCTCCATAGACATTTGTGCTTTTAGGATTTGCAAATTGAAGGAGATTTTTCAAATTCTATCGAGTCTGCTCACAGGGATTCTTCCTTCTTTAGGGTCCTGTGTCCTTTGGGGAGGTGGCCATCCATTTCAACAGTGAAGAGTGGTTGCTGCTTGATCTCAGCCAGAAAGCCCTGTATCAAGAAGTCATGTTGGAAACGTCTAGGATGCTGGCCTCTTTAGGTAAAGGTTCCTCTATACGTAACTTATTAAAAATAATTTCATTTCTTCTTTTTTCCTCTTACATTAATTCCAGTCCCCCTTCATGGTCTTCTAAGTAGCACAGTTTCATTTAGAAGAAAGAGATCAGTGTGGTGATCAGGAAGTATTGACATTCAGTCTTGTGGTCATCCTTGGGCCCTGGTCATTACACCACAGTGATTGGGAAGATGTTCAGGGAGAAGATGCTGAGTTTTCCTACTCACCAACAAATTTTGTCTTGCTTTGGGTTGCAGTGACATATGTTGTCTTCTTGAATGCAAGTTGGGTGCGTCATATTTGAGACAATTTGTGTGCCTCGTCCTGATATCAAGATGTGGTTTTGCTTTAAATATTTAACTGCCAAGAATGAGGATTAGATGAGCAGCCATGTTAGTCTTTTAAGTTATTAAGTAATATGCATGTTGTCATTTCCCTCGTTCCTTTCTCTGGAGATGCCCAGTAATAAGATAAATCAATGCATAGGGACACCGAAGTGGAGGTTGTAGATTATTCTGATTTATTTTTCTTCCCCCACAAGCATTTGATGCGCAGAAAAAGGAAAACGACCAAGAGCCAAACTTAGTGCCGTTGCAAATAATCACAACTGAAATTCCTGAGGAGACCTCTACAAATAAGCGGAGAGGGAAGAAACATGAAAAGAAGCATAACTGGAGAGAAAAATCTATTTTTGAATGTGTGGAAATGGATTGTTTCCTGACCCAAGGTGATTCCAAACAAAATACGGGGAAATGTCAAAGTAGAAAAAGATTCAAAGCCAATCCCAATGTTAGTAACCCCTGCAAATCAGGAAAAAGTTCCAGGAGTAATAATCTTACTTCACATAAAAAGAACCAGGCAAGGGAGAAGCTCTACAATGGTGTGGACAATGGAAAAAGCACTGGGACAAAAGGTGATTTAACTTCTCATAAAAAAATCCACACCAGTGAAAAACGCGATAAGTGCCTAGAATATGGAAAGAGCTTTAGGTACAAAGAGTGTCTGAAATCCCACAAAAGGATCCATACAGGGATAAAACCTTACAAATGTGTGGATTGTGGAAAACGTTTCAGTGTGAAGAGTTCCCTTACGTACCATAAAAGGGTACATACTGGAGAAAAACACTTTAAATGCATAGAATGTGGGAAGAGCTTTAAAAGTAGTAATTACCTGATGTGCCACAAAAGGATCCATTCGGGGGAAAAACCTTATAAATGTGTGATTTGTGGACAAAGTTTCAGAACGAAGTCTTCCCTTACAGCCCATGAAAAGATACATACAGAAGAAAGACCCTTTAAATGCATGGAGTGTGGAAAGAGCTTCAGGGGAAGCAGTGTTCTTAATTGTCATACACTGATCCACACAGGAGAAAAACCCTATAAATGCCTAGACTGTGGGAAGAGCTTCAGGCAAAGCGGTAGCCTTATTTCCCATAAACGGCTCCACACAGGAGAAAAACCCTATAAATGCATGGAGTGTGGAAAGAGCTTCAGTGTAAAGAGTGCTCTTACTTCTCATAGATGGATCCACACAGGAGAAAAACCCTTTAAATGCAAACAGTGTGGGAAGAGCTTCACAACTAGTAGTTCCCTGATATGCCACAAAAGGATCCATACGGGGAGAAAACCTTACAAATGTGTGGATTGTGGACAAAGGTTCCGTGTGAAGGGTTCCTTTACTTCCCATAAAAGGGTACATACTGGAGAAAAACCCTTTAAATGCATAGAATGTGGGAAGAGCTTTACAAGTAGTAATTCCCTGATGTGCCACAAAAGAATCCATTCAGGGGAAAAACCTTATAAATGTGTGATTTGTGGACAAAGTTTCAGAACGAAGTCTTCCCTTATAGCCCATGAAAAGATACATACAGAAGAAAGACCCTTTAAATGCATGGAGTGTGGAAAGAGCTTCAGGCGAAGCGATGCTCTTAATTGTCATACACTGATCCACACAGGAGAAAAACCCTATAAATGCCTAGACTGTGGGAGGGGCTTCAGGCAAAGCAGTAACCTTGCTTGTCATAAACGGGTCCACACAGGAGAAAAACCCTATGAATGCATGGAGTGTGGAAAGAGCTTCAGTGTAAAGAGTTCTCTTACTTCTCATAGACGGATCCACACAGGAGAAAAACCCTATAAATGCCTAGACTGTGGGAGGGGCTTCAGGCAAATCTGTGACCTTGCTACCCATAAACGGATCCACACAGGAGAAAAACCCTATAAATGCATGGAGTGTGGAAACAACTATAACAGCTGTAGTGGATTAAATCACCATAAACTTGTCCACGCGGGAGAGAAACCCTATACATGCATGGAGTGTGGAAAGAGCTTCACTTGCAAGACTTCTCTTACTTCTCACGAGAGGATCCACACAGGAGAGAAACCCTATAAATGTAGAGAGTGTGGGAAGAGCTTCAGACGAAGCAGTCACCTTAGTTACCATAACAGGATCCATGCAGGAGAAAAACCATATAAGTGCACAGAGTGTGGAAAGACCTTCGTTGCTAGTAGGTCTCTGACTATTCATAAAAGGACCCACACCGGAGAGAAACCCTAAAAATGCCTGGAATGTGGGAACAGCTTCAGATTTAACAGTAGCCTTTCTGTCCATAAGAGGATCCACAAAAGAGGGAAACAGAAATGTACGGAATGTGGAAGGAGTTTTTGTGAAAGAGAATCCTTCTCAAGAAACAACCCACAATGGGCAGGAAAATATCCTGTGGACAGCAATCAACTTATTTCCCTTACGGATTAACAGAAAATGAATGGATAAAGGGCTGGACTGATGGGGTAGTATATTTTATTTATTTATTTTTTTTAAAAAAAACTTTCCTGATTTTTTATGTATATTCGTTGTTTTTAACAGTCGCTTGGTCGACTGTCGTTGTGAGCTGCCCTGAGTCCTTGGAGATAGGGCGGCATACAAATTTTATAAAATAAAGAAAGAAAGAAGATAGATTTTCAGGTAGTCAAGAAAGTTAAATATTTGGGAGTATACTTAACAGGAAGATGTACAACAATTAAAGAAGGTAACTATAAAAGATTAATACAACAAATGTGGCATTTGCCACCAGGAAGAATAGCCAAGATGTTTAAAAACCTGTCAGCCAAATGTTGGAAATGTAATCAGGAAATGTAAACCGGGCTCTTATTACCATAAGTGGTGAACATGCCGAAAGGAAAAAAAAAAATTGGACGAAAATACTCACATAATACACACATAATTAGAGTTTTGTTTTTTTAAATTTGATTTACACGCCGCCCTTCTGCGGAGATTCAGGGCGGCTTACTATGCGTTAAGCAATAACCTTCATACTTTTGTATATTTATACAAAGTCAGTTTATTGCCGCTACAAACTGGGTCCTCAATTTACCTACCTTAGAAAGGATGGAAGGCTGAGTCAAATACATAGTTAAAGCAACATATCGTTAACACATAGTTAAAGCAAGATATACGTTTAAAGTCAGAAATATTTTTGTTAGGTATAATATCAGAAAAATATGACAAAGGGAACAAATATTTAATACTACATATATTGACAGCAGCGAGAATTGAATTTGCACAACACTGGAAGAATGAGGAAACTCCTACAGACCAAAATATAATTAGAAAAATACTAGATTGTACAGAAATGGATAGGTTAACATTAAAGATAAAGGACAAAGAAGACACAATGTTTTTTAACATGGGATTTGTGTTATCAATGGTTAGACAATAGAGGTAGAAATGAGAAATTAGCCAAAGGGAGCTGCGCCAAGCCGGCCACACACCTGGCCATGACTAGTTGGTCGAGGCCTCCCACCTTCTACCAGCCACACCCTCCTTCCATCCCAGCCACTGAAAATCTCTCCCAAATACAGGCAGAGGCATAGAATCAAAACTGCTGAAGTATTAGTACCGCTTTAGTAAGTCCATACCTGGAATACTACAACTAATTTTGGTCACAGGTGTTGAGACTTTGGAAAAAGTTCGGAGAAGAACAATTAAGGTGACCAAAGGCCTGGGGACTAAAACATATGAAGAACGGTTGCAGGATTTGGGTTTGACTAGTCAGCCTAGATATCAACCTAGAAATAGGGAGAAATTTTCTAACAGTGGGAACAATTAACCAGTGCAACAGCTTGTCTTCAGAAATTGTGGATGCTTCATCACTGGAGGTTTTTAAGAAGACACTGAACAATGATTTGTTTGAAACGGTATAGGGCAGTGTTGGCGAACCTTTTCGGCAACCAATGCCGAAACCAGAATGCTTGCTTTTCCACATGTGCATGCCAGAAACCAGAAGAGCAGGTGGTCTTCACGCATGTAGGAGCGCCCGAAACTGGAAGAGCAGCTACCTGATGCGTGTGCGAAGAGAGAGCACTTTGTGTACTCTACTACGCGTGCCATAGGTTCGCCGTCAGTATTGGGTGTCCTGCTTGAGCAGGGGGCTGATCTAGAAGACCTCCAAGGTCCCTTCCACCTCCGTTCCATTCTATTCTCCCAACTTAAAGGGACTTTAAAAATGGTTTTATTGATCCAACACTATACCATATAACCAATATTTTTTTTAAAAAGTGACTTAAATTTCTTGATTTAAAATCATTGTTCAGTTTATCAGATTAAAGTAATCAATACCGTATATTCTATTTCTCAAGATTTCAAATGTACTTTAGTGTCTCTATTTCATTTTGTGATATCAAGTTGATCAGAAAGATCAATCAGAGTTGCCATATTAGGGGAATCGTAACATTGATATGATTTCAGAGAAAACTTAGTAGCATGATTTCTGCTTATTATCTTAACTTTTTAAAAAACATATTTCCTGATTATTAACCTCTTTTCTCAATTTGAAAGGTTAATAAATTATTCAAAACAGTTGCACAATGTAAATGATGCCCTACTTTATATACATTGAACAGCGAAATGAGGAAACAGATAAATATGTAGACGGAGGGGGGAGCATGGCATAAAATGTTAGAAAGTACTAGAAGGGGGTGGAATGAGTTCACATCTGACTCAGTTTCACATTGTACAATGATGCCTTGAAAACCATGGCATGGGAAAACATTAGTACGGTAGATTTTTCTACGAAAGAAGCAAACAATTAAAAGGTGGAAACATTTCTCCTGAAAAAATCCTGGCATTTTCATAATATTTATTTATTTATTGCTTCGATTTATATGCCACCCTTTTCCGGAGACTCAGGGCAGCTTACAATGTGTTAAGCAATAGCCTTCATACTTTTGTATATATCTGCTTAGTAGGGCTTCCCCCCACCCCCAAGCAGTGTTCTTTTTTATACAAAGTCAGCTTATTGCCCCCACAAACCGGGTCCTCATTTTACCTACCTCAAAAGGATGGAAGGCTGAGTCAACCTTGAGCCTGGTGAGATTTGCAGTAATTGCAGGCAGCTGGTGTTACTTAACAGTGCTTTATTCTACTGCGCCACCAAGGCTCTTCCTAATTATGTAATTGTACACCTATGGAGATAATCCATGGGACATTAAATTTAAGCCTTTTGCCTCTTTCTACAACTTGGAATATATTTTTGGTCTTTAAGTGTTTGCACTCTGAGTCATAGTGGGGACATCCAGGCAATGTCTACATTTACCTGAGGACCCCAATCTCCCCCTTCCCCCCGTGGCTCTTCCCTCAGAGCAGTGGTGGGTTGCTACCGGTTCTCCCCGGTTCTTGCAAATTGGTATGGAAATTTTGAGAAATTTGGAGAACCAGTAAATACCACCTCTGCCTGGCCCTGCCCCCAATCTCTTCGCTGCCTCCCGAGTCCCAGCTGATCGGCTAGAAGGAAAAAATCAGGGCTCACTTGACAAAGAAGATGGAAAAAAACCAAGACACCTTAGCTTTAAATTGAGAAGCCTTCCAACTGATCACCTAGATCCGATCCACTCCTGGTGGTAGATTGGTAATTGAGGCCAAGCTGCCTGAAAGCGGTTTCCGATGCTCTCGATGGTGGCAGAGCGGCAAAAAACTGTTTAAACTATTGCTGCGGCGTTTCACCCTACAGCTGATCAGCGGTAAAAGGCAGTGTGGTGGTAGACCAGTGCCAGCAGCAGCAGAAGTAACAACTGGAGCCCATGGAAGCTTCCCCAAGTCCCGTAGCATTGATAAACCATATCAATGCTATTTGATTGGTATGGTTTCAGAGGAAACTCTTAGTAGCAGATTGTGACTTTGTGCTTTTTATCTTAATATAGCCTTTTAAAAAACATATTTCCTGATTATTAACCTCCTTTCTCAATTTGAAAGGTTAATAAATTATTGGAAAGAGTTGTTGCACAATGTAAATGATGCCCTATTTTATATACATTGAAGAGCTAAATGAAGAAACTGATAAATATGTAGGAGGAGGGAGAGTGGCATACAATGTTTTCTATGAAAGAAGCAAAAAATTAAAAGGTGGGAATAATGCTCATAAAATATTGGTATTTTTGTTAAAATTTTACTAATTATGTAATATCCAATATATACCTGATTGTCCAGCCAGGGATTCCACTCTTTCCCTTTTCAAATGTAGCCCTGAGCCAAATACCATCATTATTCTGAAGGGTCTTTGGGGGCGAGTGGAGGCTGAGGGCTTGACAGGGGATCCAGTGTGGGGATCTGGGGATCGTCCGATTCATTCGCCTCAGTGAGGAGGTGACTTCAAAGGGTCCCCTGGGGGTCTCCCAACAGAGAAGCCGGAAAGGGGCCCCTGAGGGAGGAGAGGGGACCAGAAGGAGGCCCAATTCGGTGTCTGACCCAGAGAAAGGAGTCTAGTCCCTCCCTGAGGACCCCAAAGACCACCACTCCTATGGTGGCTCTTCCCTCAGAGCAGCCTCTGTCTCCGTCTCCGCTCTTCCCGCCAGAATAGGCTCCTCCCACCCTCTGGGACTCCAGGATTCCCTGCAGAAGAGCCGAATGCCGGGAACCCCTTTGTTTCCAGGGCTCCCGCCGACGTCCCCACCAGCAGCGGCAACAGGCGGCGCCCCGGAAGCTTCCCCCAAGCCCCCTCCCCAAGAGAAGTGGAATTGGGCGGGAGGGGCAGGGTCTTGACAAGAATACTTCAGAGTTGGCCTGACAGAAATGGTTGCACCAATGGGAAGCCTCGCTTCTGAAGAGTCATCGGTCTCTGGGCAGAATCTCTGGTGATTTTACTCTGCCGAGAAAACCTTTGGAGCAGAAAGAGAAAGGGGGAGGGGCTCCGCAGATTGTGTGCAGCGCAACTGGAGGGGACCTTTCCGCAACAATTGCTGAGATGGGGAAATCCCAGGCTACGAGCCGATGAGGCCCCAAATCTAGAGGTCTCCTCCAGCCACGGCTCACTTGTTTTTCCCACGACCGCCGTGACACGTGTCTGTAGCCTTCCAGTGCAGGACCCACTCTGGCTTTCCAGAGGCCTTTCTGTAGGGCCCGGTTCCCTGACCTCCCGGGGAGTCCGACGGCTGAGAAGCATCAGGTGATGAGGATGTTTTTCCCATCCATCTCGGTCTTCCAGGGTCGTGGCCTCATTTTCCCCTCCACGCTTTTCTCTCCATCCTTAATGACATAATTCGGAATTACATGAATACTGAAGCCCGGTGATGGAGGTCTGAGTCTGCATTCCCATTTCTTGGAGAAATCTCCGTGTTTCTCCTGGGATTTATTTACACAAAGGTGAAACATCTGGATGAAACGTATCGCTGCAGGGAGCCATTTGTGGGAAGTTTGGAGGATGGAAGCCGGGATTTATTTATTTATTTATTTATTTATTTATCGAATTTCTATACCGCCCTACTCCCGAAGGACTCAGGGCGGTGTACAGCCATGAAATAAAACACATAAATATACAAAATTTAAAATCGAATAAAAATGAAAATTGCCCCTCCTGGCTCCCTCATCCCTTCCGGAAGGTGAAGGAGGAGAAAACTCAGAGGCAACTCTGGTCCCAGTTTTAGGAGGATGTAGTCTACAATACAATTGAGGCGCGGTGGTGCAGTGGTTAGAACGCAGTAACTGCAGGCTTCTTCTGCTGATCACGGGCTGCCAGCAGTTTGGCAGTTTGGGTCTCACCAGCTCAAGGTTGACTCAGCCTTCCGAGGTGGGTGAAATGCAGACCCAGATGGTTGGGGGCCACATGATGATTCTGTAAACTGCTTAGAGAGAGCTGTAAAGCACTGTGGAGCAGTATATAAGCCTGATATAAGCCATAAGCAATATAGGGATACCTTCTTCAGTTCCACGAAGGCTCCGCACCCATTTGCACAACTCGGTTGACCCTGAGGTGGACCCAGATAAACCTGCAAGTGGCCTCAAGGCCTCTCTCAAAGGATGCAAGTGACCGGCTTTCTGCAAGGAGTATGAATCCTTCCATTCCCCACCCTCCAGTTAGAGCTGAAGAAGCATCTTGGATAAGAATCAAAAGGTCTTCAAAGAGAAAAATAAAGTCCAGTTACCTCTTGAAAAAGCACCTTTGACACTCCTGGCTCTCTCTCTGTGTCTCTGTGTGGGCAGCGACTTCACCCCAGGTGGCAGTAGGGGGCGCTCTCTTGGCTGCCGACTGACGAGGCCACTGCGCATGCTCCACTCTGGTTGAGTTTTCTCTATGTTCCGGCTGAGAGTTGCTCCCTGGGAATCCGGTGGAAGCGGGCAAGGGGTGATCCCACGATTCAGATCCTGCCCAGGGGAGGGAAGGGGATTCTGAGGTTGGAGGGAGCGGGAAGTCCGCCCCATAAGTGCTCTTGGCTGCGCATGCGGGGAGATCCATGAATTGGGGAGGGGGGAGGAGAGAAGGAAGCCTAAAGGAACCCTCCGTTTAGATTCAGTTTCAGATTCCGAGGCTGGGAGGATCTTTGGAGAGCCAGCGGAGACCCGATACTGGCATTGCCAGTGGCTGTAAGATCCGTGCTGAGGCTGTCAAAGGAGAGGAGAAGCAGGAAGAGCTGCAGGTCAGAGAAGCTTCTTTTGTGGAATCTGAAGGGATCTTCACCTGCTTGAAGTCTTCCATTTCACCCTGAATTCCCCTATTGGGTCTCATCCATCGCCACTGATGGACAGAAGGGTTTTGTGGGCAGAAAATAAAATGCAGCTCCTCTTTTGTCCTGTCCTCTTAACTGCTCTTCTTTGCTTATATTTCAGGTTCTGAGGTTCTCCCAGGAATGGGGAGGAATTCGCTGGATCCGCACAAATCTTTCTCCTGATCTGTCTTTCAGAGGGATCCCCAAGGATAAAAGTCCAGATCAGGATACCTCTCTAGGTAAGGGGAGACTGTTCCACTGGGTTGGAGACTTTCTAGAAAGAGTCTAGTTATCCTTAATTCTGGGTGTCTTGTCATGTCTTAGTCATTGGACTTAGTAGAAGTTGACCCAATAAGAAAGATCGAACTCCCTCTTCAAGCTAGAAGACTTAAGGCGCACAAAGGAATTCCCTTCCTTCAGAGCAAGGCTATGGTTGGTCTTTCCCAGAAGACATACTCTTGTAGGGGCCACCTTGAGTTGCATTCTGGCTCCTCCTCCATCCTGAGAGATTTCTCTTTATTTTTGGCTTTCCTTAAAGAGATAATTTTGACTAAATTCCTACACGGATCCCTGCTGGGCCATTTCCAACACTGTCCTTACAGGCATGTTTCCTGGTTCCTAGAATATCACTAATTTCTCTGATTTCAAACTGCAGAGAGTGGGGGGGGGATATACAGTGATTGAGCAAATGCTTTGTTTGCCAAGAATATAAACTTCCATGTGTTGTTCCAAAAGGTTAGGAGAACAATCTAACCGAGGTTTGTTCTTCAGGAAGTGGTGCGTTTGGTCTTCTCCTTTTATTCTTGGCTCCCATGATGGAGCCTATGAAAGGCAGAGTGTTGAAGAGAGAAAAATGGAGGTTTCCTGGGCAGGACAGGAAGAAATCTTAAATTGTGCCTTCAAGCTAGAAAAGATGAAGTTGAACCCTTTCCTGTCTCTCTCCTTCCCAGTGGACAAAATGGAGTCACCGTTATTCATGGAATCATCTTCTTCTATTGGTGAAGCTGAAAGAGCCGCTGGATTCCTGACTCAGGTAGGAGGGAAGAGATTAGCACTTTATAGGGGGGAGGAGTAGGAGACCTCTGGTTTCCTTTGGGGACTCAACCTATGATACTGCTATTGCTGAGCAAAGCACAACAAGGAAATTAGAAATTTACATTTACAATCAGTCAAATCGGCCCACCTCTCAACAAAGATTTGGAGGTCTATGGAATTCCTTAGTGGTTGTATTATTCTGGTTTCAAAAAATACAAGACAGCAGATTCTTGTTGCCTGTCCCAAGTAAAGCAGAAAGGAGACATGAATACTTAGGCTAAATCTACTGTATTTTAAGTATAATCTTCTTTTCCTATCATTGCTTTGTGTATCATCTACATCTTGATGCCTGGAAGTGCCTCCCTAATATTTTCATGAATGTTTGTGAGTGGGTTTTTTTCAAGTAAACTTTTATTAGTTTATCAAAGTATAAAATACAATGAAAAAAAACATGGAAAAATAAGAAGAGAGGAAAAGAGGGTCTATAGTGTACTAGGAGAAAAAAAAAGGCATCAACTTTTGACATTCTTTGGTACAGTCGAAGGTAACAACATTACAACCATAACGTTTTGCTTTTACACAACATAATGTACACATTATTTCTATAACAATAAACCTGCCTAGTTTACAAAACAGAATCAAAGTTTCATTTTTTTTCTCATTGCAAACAGACAATCTGGAAGCAATTTCAAGGTAGAGACCAAATTAAATATAATCTCTTATTTGGAGAAAAGAATCATTTTAACCATCTCAGATTCTCCTTGCTGTGGGGAATAATATAGCATTCATTCTCATATTTTCAAATCTAGTCCATAATATTTTACCAACTTTAGAATATTGTTCAGCATTACTTAAAGGACCGGCAGACCTGTGTATACATACATACTTGTTTTAAAAACACAAAACTAACTTAAAGCTTTCTAACGGTACATAAATCAATTTTTTAAAAAGAAATCCATCCTAATTAATTAAACCATATTTAAGTCATTCCCTCCAGTTTATCTTCATCGAATAGAGTCTTTTTCTTCTGTCTCCTTTCCTAAAGAAATTCTCGGCTTTATTTATATCCATTGAAAAAAGTCCGAAAGTTGTTCTGTGAGACGTTGTAAATTGGTCTGAAGCAAATCTTCCCCGATTAAATTTTCCCTCACTGAAATAGCTATCATATCTTTTCTTCTTGAAGAATTCTCAGCCTTGTTAATGTCCATAATGGGAAAGTCCCAAGCTTGACTTCTTAAAAGTTGTGAATCTACTTGATACACTTGTTTCAGTTGCACTGGGAAGATTGAACTCACACCATCATCATAAGAAGAGCTGAAGTCAGATTTATATTCTTTTTTTAACATTTTATTTATATATTTTCACGTTACATACATAAGTGCTTACTGAACAGCGTATTGTCTGGATCAATTTTTATACAATAATTCTTTTCCCACTAGTTTCTACCTCTGCTATGCAACCATTTATAAAACAAGTTCCATGTCCAACAACATTCTGTATCTTCTTTTTCTTTTATGTTTAGTGTCAGTCCATCCATTTCTGCACAATCTAAATTTTGTTTTAATTACATCGTCCTTTGTAGGAGTTTCCTCATTTTTCCAGTACTGTGCAAATACAATTCTCCAGATATGATAATCTGTTCCTGGTGTCCAACATCTGGCGGACATGCTTTTAAACATTTTTGCTAATCTTGCCGGTGGTAGATGCCACCTATAAAACATTTTATATAAATGCTCCTTATATGTAGTTGCCATTGTCAATTTACAATTTCTTTCCCAAAGCTTTTGCCGTTTGTCTAAATCTATAGCCGCCAAAGTTTTTTGCCCATACTGTCATTGTCATTGTATATTTTCTTTATCAACTTTTCATCTACCGCTAACATTATTTGGTCAAATATTGTAGGCTCTTTATAGAAGTCATAATCCTTAATACCTTTCTCATATCTCGATTTTATTTGCATATGCGGCCACCATGATAAGTCCACACCTTGATTCTGTAACTCTTGTTTGGTTTAAGTTCCCCTTCCGCATTTTAAATATTTTTATACGTTAATTTTTTTTCCAGATTTACTACATTTGGATGTAGAAATACTTCCATTGATGAGAGCCAAACTGGAATTTTAATGTAAATTTTCGGTTTCACCTTTTCCCATACTGAAAGTTGAGCATTTCTTATACAGTGTCCTTGAAAGTATTGATGAGTTTTGTTTTTGTTATACCATATAAAAAAGCATGCCATCCTAATAGGAGATCATGGCCTTCTAAAAGCAGTAATCTGTTATGTCGAAGAGTTATCCATTCTGGGTTAGACAGTATCACCCCCAGATGGATTCCTAACTGGCTGACCAACAACACTCAACCTGTAGCCCTCAGTGGAACTGCATCTACATGGAGGGAAGTATGCAGTGGAGTACCTCAAAGCTCTGGTTTAGTACTCTCCAGCATCTTCATCAATGACTAGGACGAGGGGATAGATGGGAAATTCATCAAATTTGCAGATGACACCACTGGCAGGAATAGCCAATGCTCCAGAAGATAGGCTCAAGATACAGAAGGATCTTGACAGACTTGAACATTGAGCACTAACAAAATGAAATTCAATGGTGAAAAAAGTAAGGTTCTACATTTAGGCAAGAAAAACAAAATGCAACGGTACACTATATGTGGTGCCTTGCTCAATAATAGGAACTGTGAGAGGGATCTTGGAGTCCTAGTGGACAACCATTTAAATATGAGCCAGCAGTGTACAGCAGATGCCAAAAAACCCAACACAGTTCTAGGCTACTTAAACAGAGGGGTAGAATCAAGATCACGTGAAGTGTTACTACCACTTTATAATGCCTTGGTAAGGCCACACTTGGAATATTGCATTCAGTTTTGGTTGCCACGATGTAAAAAAGATGTTTAGACTGTAGAAAGAGTGCAGAGAAGAGCAACAGTTGATTAGGGGACTGGAGGCTAAAACATATGAAGAACGGTGGGTATGTCTAGTTTAATGAAAAGAAGGACTGGGGGAGACATGATAGCAGTCTTCCAATATCTCAGGGGTTGCCATAAAGAAGGGGGCCTCAAACTATTCTCCAAAGCACCTGAGGGTAGAAGAAGAAACAAGGGTGGAAACTAATCAAGGAGAGAAGCAACTTGGAACTAAGGAGAAATTTCCTGACAGTTAGAACAATTAATCAGTGTAACAACTTTCCTCCAGAAATTGTTAATTCTCCAACACTGGAATTTTTAAAGAAGATGTTGGATAACCATTTGTCTGAAGTGGTTTAGTTTCCTGCCTAAGCAGGGGGTTGGACTAGAAGACCTCCAAGGTCCCTCCCAAATCTTCTATTCTGTTCTGTTCTGTTCTGTTCTGTTCTGTTCTGTTCTGTTCTATTCTATTCCCTCACCCATGTTAATGCAGCTGCATGGTAATAGCCACAAAACCTAGGTAGACGTGGCTGGAGGTGGTGGTCATATGATTAGGTGGGAGTGAGTGATGTCGTGTTGGCCACGCCAACTCAGGTTTTGTGGCTCCTGGTGTTTTCTGTGGGAAACTGATCCAAATGGCTTCAGGTTGAAGAGCCTTGGTCCAGGGTGAGGAGATTCTCTGGGCAAGACACCTGCTGGCCATGTCATCCTGTCTTTTTCCTTCCTCTCTTCTTCCTTTCCCTGATTTTTTTTCTTTGTATTTTATACTTCGATATACTAATAAAAAAGTTAAATTGAAATATTCATGCATGTGAGCAAAGCTGCCCCGTTAAAGAATCACAAAGACCATTTGGTTACGATGTCAGACAGAAATCCCATATAACCACTTGCAAATATGATGAAATACTGGGGCCACTGGTAGATGGTTTATCTAAGGCACTCTATGCCCCTTGATCAAGGCAAGTTGATATTGAAAGTCAGCAGAGTCAGTCAAGGTGATAAAACATGAACTAATTGAATGTCAGCAGTAGGCTGTGGATTCGGCCCTTTTTATCGTATCATGTGTTGGGTCCACCTAGAGAAACGTCCCATCAAGGTTTTTTACTTTGGATTTTAATCCCAAAGGTGCTTTTTTCAAGAGGCAACTGACTTCCTGGTTTGTCTTTGAAGACGTTTCGCTTCTCATCCAAGAAGCTGAAGAAACTTCTGAAGCACCTTTTGGGACAAATATGACCATGAATGATTGAGAATCTCCATAGACATTTGTGCTTTTAGGATTTGCAGATCAAATGAGATCCTACTCACCAACAAATTCTGTCTTCCTTTGTGTTGCAGTGACATATGTTGTTTTATTGAATGCAAGTTGGGTGCGTCATAGCCAAGACAATTTGTGTGCCACGTCCTGATGTCAACATGTGTTTTTGCTTTAAATTTTTAACTGCCAAGAATGAGGGTTAGATGAGCAGCCATGCTAGTCTTTTAAGTTAATAAGTAATATGCATGCTGTCATTTCCCTCATTTCTTTCTCCGGAGATGCCCAGAATAATAGATAAATCAATGCATAGGGACACCAAAGTGGAGGTTGTAGATTATTCTAATTTATTTTTCTTTCCCTGCAAGCATTTGAGGCGCAGAAGAAGGAAAACGACCAAGAGCCAAATTTAGTGCCGTTGCAAATAATTACAACTGAAATGCCTTATTTGTAGAGACATCTACAAATAAGCGGGGAAGGAAGAAACATAAAAAGAAGCACAAGTGGAGAGAAAAATCGATTCTTGAATGTGTGGAAATGGATCACTTCCTGACCCAACGTGATTCCAAAGAAAATTCAGGGAAATGTCAAAGTAGAAAAAGATTCAAAGCAAACTCCAACGCTAGTAATCACTGCAAATCGGGAAAAAGCTCCAGCAGTAATAATCTTACTTCACATAAAAAGAACCAGGCAAGGGGGAAGCCCTACAACGATGTGAACTGTGGAAAGAGCAGTAATTCAATTTCTCATAAAAAGATCCATAAATGTGTGGATTGTGGAAAACGTTTCAGTGTGAAGAGTTCCCTTACGTACCATAAAAGGGTACATAGTGGAGAAAAATCCTTTAAATGCATAGAATGTGGGAAGACCTTTAAAAGTAGTAAGTACCTGATGTGCCACAAAAGGATCCATTCGGGGGAAAAACTTTATAAATGTGTGATTTGTGGACAAAGTTTCACAACAAAGTCTTCCCTTACAGCCCATGAAAAGATACATACAGAAGAAAAACCCTATAAATGCATGGAGTGTGGAAAGAGCTTCAGGGGAAGCAGTGGTCTTAATTGTCATCAACGGATCCACACAGGAGAAAAACCCTATAAATGCCTAGACTGTGGGAAGAGCTTCAGGCAAAGCAGTGCCCTTGTTTCCCATAAACGGGTCCACACAGGAGAAAAACCCTATAAATGTATACAGTGTGGGAAGAGCTTCAGTGTAAAGAGTTCTCTTACTTCTCATAGACGGATCCACACAGGAGAAAAACCCTTTAAATGCAAACAGTGTGGGAAGAGCTTCACAACTAGTAGTTCCCTGATATGCCACAAAAGGATCCATACGGGGAGAAAACCTTACAAATGTGTGGATTGTGGACAAAGGTTCCGTGTGAAGGGTTCCTTTACTTCCCATAAAAGGGTACATACTGGAGAAAAACCCTTTAAATGCATAGAATGTGGGAAGAGCTTTACAAGTAGTAATTACCTGATGTGCCACAAAAGGATCCATTCGGGGGAAAAACCTTATAAATGTGTGATTTGTGGACAACGTTTCACAACGAAGTGTTCCCTTATAGCCCATGAAAAGATACATACAGAAGAAAGACCCTTTAAATGCATGGAGTGTGGAAAGAGCTTCAGGCAAAGCGGTGCTCTTAATTGTCATACACTGATCCACACAGGAGAAAAACCCTATAAATGCCTAGACTGTGGGAGGGGCTTCAGGCAAAGCAGTGCCCTTGCTTCCCATAAACGGGTCCACACAGGAGAAAAACCCTATGAATGCATGGAGTGTGGAAAGAGCTTCAGTGTAAAGAGTTCTCTTACTTCTCATAGACGGATCCACACAGGAGAAAAACCCTATAAGTGCCCAGACTGTGGGAAGGACTTCAGGCAAAGCTGTGACCTTGCTACCCATAAACGGATCCACACAGGAGAAAAACCCTATAAATGCATGGAGTGTGGAAACAGCTATAATACCTGTAGTGGATTAAATCACCATAAACTTGTCCACACGGGAGAGAAACCCTATACATGCATGGAGTGTGGAAAGCGCTTCACTTGCAAGACTTCTCTTACTTCTCATGAGAGGATCCACACAGGAGAGAAACCCTATAAATGTATAGAGTGTGGGAAGAGCTTCAGCCGAAGCAGTCAACTTAGTTACCATAACAGGATCCATACAGGAGAAAAACCTTATAAGTGCACAGAGTGTGGAAAGACCTTCGTTGCTAGTAGGTCTCTGACTATTCATAAAAGGACCCACACCGGAGAGAAACCCTATAAATGCCTGGAATGTGGGAACAGCTTCAGATTTAACAGTAGCCTTTCTGTCCATAAGAGGATCCACAAAAGAGGGAAATAGAAATGTACGGAATGCGGAAGGAGTTTTTGTGAAAGAGAATCCTTCTCAAGAAACAACCCATAATGGACAGGAAAATATCCTGTGGACAGCAATCAATTTATTTCCCTTACGGATTAACAGAAAAATGAAGGGACAAAGGGCTGGACTGATGGGGTAGTATATTTTAATTTTTTTTAAAAAAAAAACTTTCTTGATTTTTTATGTATATTTGTTGTTTTTAACAGTCGCTTGGTCGACTGTTGTGAGCCGCCCTGAGTCCTTAGAGATAGGGCGGCATACAAATTTTATAAAATAAATAAATAAATAAAGAAGATAGATTATCAGATAGTCAAGAAAGTTAAATATTTGGGAGTATACTTAACAAGAAGATGTACAACAAGTAAAGAAGGTAACTATAAAAGATTAATAAAACAAATGTGGCATTTGCCACCAGGAAGAATAGCCAAGATGTTTAAAAACCTGTCAGCCAAATGTTGGAAATGTAATCAGGAAATGTAAACCGGGCTCTTATTACCATAAGTGGTGAACATGCCGAAAGGCAAAAAAAAAATTGGACGAAAATACACACATAATACACACATAATTAGAGTTTTGTTTTTTTAAATTTGATTTATATACCGCCCTTCTCTGGAGACTCAGGGCAGCTTACTATGCGTTAAGCAATAGCCTTCATACTTTTGTATATTTATACAAAGTCAACTTATTGCCCCCACAAACTGGGTCCTCAATTTACCTACCTTAGAAAGGATGGAAGGCTGAGTCAAATACAGTCAGGTCCATAAATATTGGGACATCGACACAATTCTAACATCTTTGGCTCTATACACCACCACAATGGAGCTGGAATGCAACAAACACAATGTGCGTTAACTGCAGACTGTCAGCTTTAATTTGAGGGTTTGTACATCCAACTCAGGTGAACGGTGTAGGACTTACAGCAGTTTGTATATGTGCCTCCCTCTTGTTAAGGGACCAAAAGTAATGGGACAATTGGCTTCTCAGCTGTTACATGGCCAGGTGTGTGATATTCCCTCATTACCCCAATTACAATGTGCAGATAAAAGGCCCAGAGTTCATTTCAAGTGTGCTATTTGCATTTGGAATCTGTTGCTGTCAACTCTCAAGATGAGATCCAAAGAGCTGTCACTATCAGTGAAGCAAGCCATCATTAGGCTGAAGAAACAAAACAAACCCATCAGAGAGATAGCAAGAACATTAGGTGTGGCCAAAACAACTGTTTGAAACATTCTCAAAAAGAAGGAATGCACCTGTGAGCTCAGCAACAGCAAAAGACCTGGGAGACCATGGAAAACAAGTGTGGTGGATGACCGAAGAATTCTTTCCCTGGTGAAGAAAACACCCTTCACAACAGTTGGCCAGATCAAGAACACTCTCCAGGATGTAGGTGTACGTGTGTCAAAGTCAACAGTCAAGAGAAGACTTCACCAGAGTGAATACAGAGGGTTCACCACAAGATGTAAACCATTGGTGAGCCTCAAAAACAGGAAGGCCAGATTAGAGTTTGCCAAACAACATCTAACAAAGCCTTCACAGTTCTGGAACAAGATCCTATGGACAGATGAGACCAAGATCAACTTGTACCAGAGTGATGGGAAGAGAAGAGTATGGAGAAGGAAAGGAACTGCTCATGATTCTAAGCATACCATCTCATCAGTGAAGCATGGTGGTGGTAGTGTCACGGCATGGGCATGTATGGCTGCCAATGGAACTGGTTCTCTTGTATTTATTGATGATGTGACTGCTGACAAAAGCAGCAGGATGAATTCTGAAGTGTTTCGGGCAATATTATCTGCTCACATTCAGCCAAATGCTGCAGAACTCATTGGACGGCACTTCACAGTGCAGATGGACAATGACCCAAAGCATACTGCAAAAGCAACCAAAGAGTTTTTGAAGGGACAGAAGTGGAATGTTATGCAATGGCCAAGTCAATCACCTGACCTGAATCCCATTGAGCATGCATTTCACTTGCTGAAGACAAAACTGAAGGGAAAATGCCCCAAGAACAAGCAGGAACTGAAGACAGTTGCAATAGAGGCCTGGCAGAGCATCACCAGGGATGAAACCCAGCGTCTGGTGATGTCTATGTGTTCCAGACTTCAGGCTGTGATTGACTGCAAAGGATTTGCAACCAAGTATTAAGAAGGGAAAGTTTGATTTATGATTATTATTCTGTCCCATTACTTTTGGTCCCTTAACAAGTGGGAGGCACATATGCAAACTGCTGTAAGTCGTACACCGTTCACCTGAGTTGGATGTACATACCCTCAAATTAAAGCTGACAGTCTGCAGTTAATGCACATTGTGTTTGTTTCATTCCAACTCCATTGTGGTGGTGTATAGAGCCAAAGATGTTAGAATTGTGTCGATGTCCCAATATTTATGGACCTGACTGTACATAGTTAAAGCAACATATCGTTAACACCTAGTTAAAGCAAGATATACATTTAAAGTCAGAAATATTTTTGTTAGGTATAATATCAGAAAAATATGACAAAGGGAACAAATATTTAATACTACATATATTGACAGCAGCGAGAATTGAATTTGCACAACACTGGAAGAATGAGGAAACTCCTACAGACCAAAATATAATTAGAAAAATACTAGATTGTACAGAAATGGATAGGTTAACATTAAAGATAAAGGACAAAGAAGACACAATGTTTTTTAACATGGGATTTGTGTTATCAATGGTTAGACAATAGAGGTAGAAATTAGAAATTAGCCAAAGGGAGCTGCGCCAAGCCGGCCACACACCTGGCCATGACCAGTTGGTCGAGGCCTCCCACCTTCTACCAGCCACACCCTCCCTCCATCCCAGCCACTGAAAATCTCTCCCAAATACAGGCAGAAGCATAGAATCAAAATCTGCTGAAGTATTAGTACCGCTTTAGTAAGTCCACACCTGGAATACTACAACTAATTTTGGTCACAGGTGTTGAGACTTTGGAAAAAGTTTGGAGAAGAACAACTAAGGTGACCAAAGGCCTGGGGACTAAAACATATGAAGAACGGTTGCAGGATTTGGGTATGACTAGTCAGCCTAGATATCAACCTAGAAATAGGGAGAAATTTTCTAACAGTGGGAACAATTAACCAGTGCAACAGCTTGTCTTCAGAAATTGTGGATGCTTCATCACTGGAGGTTTTTAAGAAGACACTGAACAATGATTTGTTTGAAACGGTATAGGGCAGTGTTGGAGAACCTTTTCGGCAACCAATGCCGAAACCAGAATGCTTTTCCACATGTGCATGCCAGAAACCAGAAGAGCAGGTGGTCTTCACGCATGTAGGAGTGCCCGAAACTGGAAGAGCAGCTACCTGATGTGTGTGCTAAGAGAGAGCACTTTGTGTACTCTACTACGCGTGCCATAGGTTCGCCGTCAGTATTGGGTGTCCTCCTTGAGCAGGGGGCTGGTCTAGAAGACCTCCAAGGTCCCTTCCACCTCCGTTCCGTTCTATTCTCCCAACTGAAAGGGACTTTAAAAATGGTTTTATTGATCCAACACTTTACCATATAACCAATATTTTTTAAAAAAAATACTTAAATTTCTTGATTTAAAATCATTGTTCAGTTTATCAGATTAAAGTAATACCGTATTTTCTATTTCTCAAGATTTCAAATGTACTTTAGTGTCTCTATTTCATTTTGTGATATCAGGTTGATCAGAAAGATCAATCAGAGTTGCCATATTAGGGGATCGTAGCATTGATATGGTTTCAGAGAAAACTGTTAGTAGCAGGGCAGCTTAAGTAATAGCCTTCATACTTTTGTATATATCTGCTTAGTAGGGCTTTCGCCCCCCCCCGCCCAGCAGTGTTCTTTTTTATACAAAGTCAGCTTATTGCCCCCACAAACTGGGTCCTCATTTTACGTACCTCAAAAGGATGGAAGGCTGAATCAACCTTGAGCCTGGTGAGATTTGCAGTAATTGCAGGCAGTTGGTGTTACTTAACAGTGCTTTATTCTACTGCGCCACCAAGGCTCTTCCTAATTATGTAATTGTACACCTATGGAGATAATCCATGGGACATTAAATTTAAGCCTTTTGCCTCTTTCTACAACTTGGAATATATTTTTGGTCTTTAAGTGTTTGCACTCTGAGTCATAGTGGGGACATCCAGGCAATGTCTACATTTACCTGAGGACCCAAATCTCCCCCCTCCCCCCCATGGCTCTTCCCTCAGAGCAGTGGTGGATTGCTACCGGTTCTCCCCAGTTCTTGCAAATCGGTAGTGGAAATTTTGAGTAATTTGGAGAACAGGTAAATACCACCTCTGCCTGCCCCTGCCCCCAATCTATTCGCTGCCTCCCGAGTCCCAGCTGATCGGCTAGGAGGAAAAAATCAGGGCTCACTTGACAAAGAAGAGGAAAAAAAACCAAAGCACCTTAGCTTTAAATTCAGAAGCCTTCCAACTGATTGCCTAGATCCGATCCACTCCTGGTGGTAGATTGGCAATTGAGGCCAAGCTGCCTGAAAGCGGTTTCCGATGCTCTCGATGGTGGCAGAGCGGAAAAAACTGTTTAAACTATTGCTGTGGGGTTTCACCCTACAGCTGATCAACGGTAAAAGGCAGTGTGGTGGTAGACCAGTGCCAGCAGCAGCAGAAGTAACAACTGGAGCCCATGGAAGCTTCCCCAAGAGAGGGGAGAAGTGGAATTGGGAAGGGAGGGGCTTGACAGGGATACTTTGGAGTTGGCTTGCCGTATTATGGGACCGTAGCATTGATAAACCATATCAATGCTATTTGATTGGTATGGTTTCAGAGGAAACTCTTAGTAGCATGATTGTGACTTTGTGCTTTTTATCTTAATATAGCCTTTTAAAAAACAGATTTCCAACCGCACGCAAGAAAGATACGTATCGGAAAGGAGAAGATGGATTGATTATATTCAAAATAAGTATCAGACAAGAAAATATGAAATAGCTTATGAATGACTGTTAGTATTAGAAGTATTTGGTTATCGATAGTGGAGTTAAGGTTTCAGTGGGGGAGGTAGTACTTTGAGGATAAGTAGATTAATCTAGTTTATGTTTGACTAAATGAAATACCTTGCATTTTGCTCTGGGAAATGGGGGCGGGAGGGTGGGATGAAAGGGGGTAAAGGGTGGGGGGAACAGGGGGGGAATTTTTTCTTTTTTGTAAAACTTTTCAATAAAAATAAAAAACATATTTCCTGATTATTAACCTCCTTTCTCAATTTGAAAGGTTAATAAATTATTGGAAAGAGTTGTTGCACAATGTAAATGATGCCCTATTTTATATACATTGAAGAGCTAAATGAAGAAACTGATAAATATGTAGGAGGAGGGAGAGTGGCATACAATGTTTTCTATGAAAGAAGCAAAAAATTAAAAGGTGGGAATAATGCTCATAAAATATTGGTATTTTTGTTAAAATTTTACTAATTATGTAATATCCAATATATACCTGACTGTTCAGCCACGGATTCCACTCTTTCCCTTTTCAAATGTAGCCCTGAGCCAAATACCATCATTATTCTGAAGGGTCTTTGGGGGCGAGTGGAGGCTGAGGGCTTGACAGGGGATCCAGTGTGGGGATCTGGGGATCGTCCAATTCATTCGCCTCAGTGAGGAGGTGACTTCAAAGGGTCCCCTGGGGGTCTCCCAACAGAGAAGCCAGAAAGGGGCCCCTGAGGGAGGAGAGGGGACCAGAAGGAGGCCCAATTCATTGTCTGACCCAGAGAAAGGAGTCTAGCCCCTCCCTGAGGACCCCAAAGACCACCACTCCCATGGTGGCTCTTCCCTCAGAGCAGCCTCTGTCTCCGTCTCCGCTCTTCCCGCCAGAATAGGCTCCTCCCACTCCTCTGAGACTCCAGGACTCCCTGCAGAAGAGCCGAATGCTGGGAACCCCTTTGTTTCCAGGGCTCCCGCCGACGTCCCCACCGGATAAATGGACCCAGATAAATCTGCAAGTGGCCTCAAGCCCTCTCTCAAAGGATGCAAGTGACCAGCTGTCTGCAAGGAGTATGAATCCTTCCATTCCCCACCCTCCAGTTAGAGCTGAAGAAGCATCTTGGATAAGAATCAAAAGGTCTTCAAAGAGAAAAATAAAGTCTAGTTACCTCTTGAAAAAGCCTTTGACGCTCCTCACTCTCTCTCTGTGTCTCTGTGTGGGCAGCGACTTCACCCCAGGTGGCAGTAGGGGGCGCTCTCTTGGCTGCCGACTGACGAGGCCACTGCGCATGCTCCACTCTGGTTGAGTTTTCTCTATGTTCCGGCTGAGAGTTGCTCCCTGGGAATCCGGTGGAAGCGGGCAAGAGGGGGTCCCACGATTCAGATCCTGCCCAGGGGAGGGAAAGATATTCTGAGGTTAGAGGGAGCGGGAAGTCCGCCCCATAATTGCTTTTGGCTGCGCATGCGGGGAGATCTATGAATTGGGGAGAGGGGAGGAGAGAAGGAAGCCTAAAGGAACCCTCCGTTTAGATTCAGATTCAGATTCCGAGGCTGGGAGGATCTTTGGAGAGCCAGCGGAGACCCGATACTGGCATTGCCAGTGGCTGTAAGATCCCTGCTGAGCCTGTCAAAGGTGAGGAGAAGCAGGAAGAGCTGCAGGTCAGAGAAGCTTCTTTTGTGGAATCTGAAGGGATCTTCACCTGCTTGAATTCCTTCATTTCTCCCTGAAATCTCCTATTGGGTCTCATCCATCGCCACTGATGGACAGAAGGGTTTTGTGGGCAGAAAATAAAATGCAGCTCCTCTTTTGTCCTGTCCTCTTAACTGCTCTTCTTTGCTTATATTTCAGGTTCTGAGGTTCTCCCAGGAATGGGGAGGAATTCGCTGGATCCGCACAAATCTTTCTCCTGATCTGTCTTTCAGAGGGATCCCCAAGGATAAAAGTCCAGATCAGGATACCTCTCTAGGTAAGGGGAGACTGTTCCACTGGGTTGGAGACTTTCTAGAAAGAGTCTAGTTATCCTTAATTCTGGGTGTCTTGTCGTGTCTTAGTCATTGGACTTAGTAGAAGTTGACCCAATAAGAAAGATCGAACTCCCTCTTCAAGCTAGAAGACTTAAGGCGCACAAAGGAATTCCCTCCCTTCAGAGCAAGGCTATGGTTGGTCTTTCCCAGAAGACCAACTCTTGTAGGGGACACCTTGAGTTGCATTCTGGCTCCTCCTCCATCCTGAGAGATTTCTCTTTATTTTTGGCTTTCCTTAAACAGATAATTTTGACTAAATTCCTACACGGATCCCTGCTGGGCCATTTCCAACACTGTCCTTGCAGGCATGTTTCCTGGTTTCTAGAATATCGCTAATTTCTCTGATTTCAAACTGCAGAGAGTGGGAGGGGGGATTTACAGTGATTGAGCAAATGCTTTGTTTGCCAAGAATATAAACTTCCATGTGTTGTTCCAAAAGGTTAGGAGAACAATCTAACCGAGGTTTGTTCTTCAGGAAGTGGTGGGTTTGGTCTTCTCCTTTTATTCTTGGCTCCCATGAAGGAGCCTATGAAAGGCAAGAGTGTTGAAGAGAGAAAAATGGAGGTTTCCTGGGCAGGACAGGAAGAAATCTTAAATTGTGCCTTCAAGCTAGAAAAGATGAAGTTGAACCCTTTCCTGTCTCTCTCCTTCCCAGTGGACAAAATGGAGTCACCGTTGTTCATGGAATCATCTTCTTCTATTGGTGGAGCTGAAGGAGCCTCTGGATTCCTGACTCAGGTAGGAAGGAAGAGATTAGCACCTTATAGGGGGGAGCAGTAGGAGACCTCTGGTTTCCTTTGGGGACTCAACCTATGATACTGCTATTCCTGAGCAAAGCACAACAAGGAAATTAGAAATTTACATTTACGATCAGTCAAATAGGCCCACCTCTCAACAAAGATTTGGAGGTCTATGGAATTCCTTAGAGGTTGTATAATTCTGGTTTCAAAAAATACAAGACAGCAGATTCTTGTTGCCTGTCCCAAGTAAAGCAGAAAGGAGACATGAATACTTAGGCTAAATCTACTGTATTTTAAGTATAATCTTCTTTTCCTATCATTGGGGAAAGGGATAAAAAAAGGAGAAGCAGAAATTGCTTTGTGTATCATCTACATCTTGATGCCTGGAAGTGCCTCCCTAATATTTTCATGAATGTTTGTGAGTGGTTTTTTTTCAAGTAAACTTTTATTAGTTTATCAAAGTATAAAATACAATGAAAAAAAACATGGAAAAATAAGAAGAGAGGAAAAGAGGGGCTATAGTGTACTAGGAGAAAAAAAAAGGCATCAACTTTTGACATTCTTTGGTACAGTCGAAGGTAACAACATTACAACCATAACGTTTTGCTTTTACACAACATAATGTACACATTATTTCTATAACAATAAACCTGCCTAGTTTACAAAACAGAATCAAAGTTTCATTTTTTTTCTCATTGCAAACAGACAATCTGGAAGCAATTTCAAGGTAGAGACCAAATTAAATATAATCTCTTATTTGGAGAAAAGAATCATTTTTTTTTTATTGCAAAAGTTTTACAATTACATTTTCACCCCTTTTCCCCCCCCCCCACCTCCCCCCCAAACTTCCCAACCTCCCTAACCCTCCCTAACCCTCCCCTCCCCCCAGACTTCCCTATAATATACTCATAATCATGAAGAACCCTA